GCCCAATCAGCAAGCCACGCCCACCCAGTCACATGATCACCAAGCCATACATACAAATTAGGCCACACCCGCAGAACCGGTTGTTAAGAAATTTGAATCCCACCCCTGCCTGGGGCACTCACATTGCAGCACTGGTCAAAAGGGCCCAGCAGAGATAATGCTACTTGAGACTTCTCAGGACAAAACTGAATGAAAAATTGCTGGTGACCTTCTACTGCTGTACTATAGAGAGTATTTTAACTTACTGTACCTGTGTATGTTTTGCCAACTGCACAGTGGCAGATAGGACAGCGCTCCAGAGGGTTAACATCATTGCCCAGAGGATCATTGATTGCCCTCTCCCCTCCTTTGAAGAGCTTTATAATTCCCGCTGCCTTATGAAAGTTCAACACATTCTTAAAGATCCATCTCATCCTGGGTACCCTTTTTTTGAACTATTACCATCTGGCAGACAGTACAGGACAATAACAGATAAAAGATAATCAGAGTTGGAAGGGACCTTGTAGGTCATCTAGTCCAACCCCCCGCCCAAGCGGGAGACCCTACACCATGTCTGACAATGGCAGTCCAATCTCTTCTTGAAGGTCTCAAGTGATGGCGCCCCCACAACTTCCGAGGGCAAGCTGTTCCATTGGTTGATTGTTCTCACTAAATAAAAATAGGCTGAAAAACAGCTTCTATCCCAGAGCAGTAACTATATTGAATTTTATTGTATAGTTTAATACCACGCAGTATCGGGATTGTTTGTTTTTGTTTTATGTTTATAGTTAACAGATAACAGATAATCAGAGTTGGAAGGGACCTTGTAGGTCATCTAGTCCAACCCCCCCACCCAAGCGGGAGACCCTACACCATTTCTAACAAATGGCAGTCCAATCTCTTCTCAAGTGATGGCGCTCCCACAACTTCCGAGGGCAAGCTGTTCCATTGGTTGATTTTTCTCACTGTCAGAAAGTTTCTCCTTGTTTCCTGGTTAAATCTCTCCTTGTTCAGTTTCCATCCATTATTCCTAGTCTGGCCTACAGGCGCTTTAGAAAATAGCTTGACTCCTTCCTCCCTGTGGCAGCCCCTCAAAAAGTTTCATATGTGTGATGTACACTGAAGATGGCATTTAATTTCATTGTATGAGGTGCAATGACAATAAACTAAACTAAATTAAAATGCAGATTTCTGATTTTTCTCCTGTAGTTCTGCTTTGTACAACATAATATAATAATTTTCTTTAAAACCTAGCTTTTACCAGATATGACAAACATAATTGCCGTCTGGCAGTCCTTTCTAAAGCCAGATAAGGCTCAGGAAGGACAGAAAAAAAGAGGAACAGAAACTGCTTCTTGTATGGAGGAAACAAATGAAACAAACAAAGACCATGGTAAGGAATCTTTGGTCATTTTATGTACTTACAGATTTGTTCTTTTAACCCAATGTCTGAAAATATCTGATAATTCATGATGGCCCTGAGCTGATCTTTGAGAAGCTCTATTTAATGTAAAAGTTATATTTTAATGGTACGTGATAAAATTATTAGATATCCTTTCTGAAACCCTTGTTTTATAGACTGTTAACAACCCAGTCCTGTGCAAAATTCTGAATGAAGAGATTCTTGCAGCAAAGCAACTAAGGAAGTTTTCTATAGAAGGCAAGCAGAAAGCAACTTAATGTCCTACTTTACACTTCACACTAATTCCTGGATAGTGTAAAGCACTATTGAATTATTGTTTTTTGGATTCATAGAATTGGCTATTTAATAAACCATGGTTTATAACCTACAGGGCCGATGTTGACAAACCATGCAAAGTCACTAACTGCTAGTTAGTATTATTTAGTACAATGCAAGTATCACTTGTCTATTAAGAAATATATTCCTTAAGAATTCTTCATTTTGCATATTCTGACTTGGCAGAGAAACAGTCCGGCTAATGTTTCTTTCCTTCTCATTTAGACATAAAAGTCTTATGCATCAATACTTTGTAATTTCTCCCCCCCCCCCCCCCCCAAACAGTGCCATAACAATGCTGGCAGTGATTACTGACCCAGACAAGGGAGTATAATTCATTAAAAGCACCAAAAGAACTGGGATTAAACTGTTAGAACTAACATTTTTATCCCCTAGATATGCTGTCAGTTGATTCTTTTTTAGATTACATATGTTGGTGGCTGCTATTTTTCAGGATTGTATTAATGTAGAGAGAAAAAATCACTGATATAAAATGGGATTTTATTTTATGGCATTTTTTGTGGGTTTTTTTGTAATATCTGTCAATCTGTGCTTTTTCTAGGCTTGGATGATGTAGAAATCACTCTTCTGAAAGCTGTTTTACTTCAAGTTATATGCCTTTATCAACAAGTTGTTCCTCACTTAGTAGCACAGAGCAACTTTGATTTTAGCAAATTAATAAAAGGTAATGTTAAGCATACTCTGGCTAAATGGGAATACATTGAAAATAATATTTATAAAAGAGGTCTTTAGCTAGCAACCAGCAAGTTAAGTATACTTATACCACTGCATGAGATGGACGGTGATAGGTAGGGAGGAGGTCAGTCTGTGGGGTCCTTAGTGCTCTTTGAGCTTAGTGGCTTTCTTGCAGATATTTCATTACCAAACTACTGTAGGTAACATCATCAGTGCTAGAAGGGAGTTGGGTTTGCTCTTATTAGTGACTTGCTCTGTCAGTTTTAATGGGATTGTTCTTAGTGGTTCTTTGATTAGTCTTGTTCATGGTTAGCTTGTCTGAATTGGTATTGTTTACTTCTTGATTTTTGCTCTGAGGTTAATTTTGGTGTTACTCTTTGCTCATGTGGATGTTGGTTTCAGGTGGGGAGATGTATTGGGTTTTTTTGTTCCTTTTTGGCTTTTTGATTGTCTCTTTTGCACAATATGTAGGCATAGTTTATTTCTATATGGCTGTTGATGGCTGATTTGTTTGAATACCAGCAATTCTAGCAATTCTCTGTTGTTGTTTTTAACTTGGCTTGATTTAGGATGCTCATAGTTTCTCAGTTGAAACTATGGTTAAGTTCTGTCCCTGTGTTGTGAAATTAAGGAGCTTTCACCATGCCTTCTGACTGCTGCTTGGTGTTCATGGATGTGCTCTTTTAGTCTTCTGTCTGTTTGTCCTACATAGTGGTTGTTATAGTCCTTACACTGTTGTAGGTGGCTCCTTTTTTTTTTTTTCCTTCTGGGGCTGCTGGGATCAGGGTGAACTTGCAAGATTTACAGCTTCTTTGCAACTGCTTTGCAACTTCAGGAACCACAGTCACAGTTGAAAGATGCAGATGAATATTGAAAAAGTTGATTGAACTCTTGAGTTTGGTGTTCTAAAATTTTAGAATCGTCTCCCCAGGAAATCTTAAATTTAGTGATTTCAATTCCAGATGAAGCCCTTTTCATTTTCCCAAACTTTTAAAATTCATGTTAACATCAGTATTGTGATGGACAGGATGTGAATCCCTTTAGATATGTTTTGAGGCATAGCACTAAGATGCTATTAATTGAATTGGGAATGCAAAGCTGGGATGGGAGAGGTATAACTATTCTGACTCTCCTTGATGACTTGGTGGCTTTTAATGTAATTGATTGTAGTGTGTTCTGGACTGAGTACAGGAATTGGAAGTGGGAGACACGGAATTATGGTGCTTCTCCTTTTTCCTCAGCCAGTTTCAATTGGAAAGGGAAAGAAAGAGAAAGAGAAGGAAGAGAAAAGGTAAAATTCAAACCCCCACTTTATGGGTGCCTAAGTAGGGGTGGGATTCTACCAGTTTGCACCTATTCGCTAGAACCAGTTGTTAACATTCTAAGCAGTTCAGAGAACCGGTTGTTAGAAGAAATTACTGGCCTAAGGAAGGCAGGAAGGAAACATTCTGGTGTTGCTTACAGAAACTGCCTCTCCGTTAACCCTTATTACATTCTTGGCAGGACTAGACTTCCTGTCTCAGGAATGTCTCTGGAGTTTTTTTTTCCTTCTTTGCTGGTACTTTGCTTGTGTGGAGTGACCATTCAAAGTTACAATGGCACTGAAAAAAGTGACTTATGACCATTTTTCACACTTACGACTGTTGCAGCATCCCCACAGTCATGAGAGGCCAGGTCAGGAGATGCGTGCCTCGATGTGAGTGATATTGAGTTGGCTACACCCAGCCAATAACATGACCACCAAGCCACGCCCACCAACTTAGCCATGCCCACAGAACCGGTTGTTAAAAAAATTGAATCCCACCCCTGTAGCCTAAGGGCTTTATGGTTGTCCCTCTCCAGGTGAACCTGCTGGGTGAAAATCTTTTGAGGTTCAGTTACGATGATAGGTCTTGTTCCAGCACCTGAGATGAGAAACAGGCTCAAACTCAACTGTAATAAGAATGAGAGACTGGGTTCTTGGAACACCATCTCCGCAGTGGCTTTAAACAGTTTTGAAAACCTGGCTGTTGTTGCAGGTCTTCAATTAGGGTGGTTGTCAAGGTCCTTTAGGCTGGGTTTAATATGGAAGAGAAAGTTTTTATTGTTTGTCTGGGCTGCTGATGTCTTTTTTGATGTGTTTGTATTGTCTTCTCTGTAATGTCTTTTTTTTATACTCTCCCTGTTTAAATGCATAAGTCACCCACAATTGTTTTGGAGTCAAGCAGTTCTAGAAATTGAATAGTTTATTGAATTGAATACTTTACCTGGCCAAGTGTAATTGGATGAAGGAATTTGTCTCCAGTGCAGAAGCTCTCAGGATGGATGGATGGATGGATGGATAGATAGATAGATAGATAGATAGATAGATAGATAGATAGATAGATAGATAGATAGATAGATAGATAGATAGATGATAGATAGACAGACAGACAGACAGACAGTGTTGTGATCCTAAAATATTTTATTTATTATTAAATATATGCTGCCCATCTTGCTATCCAAATATCTTAATGTGTAATGCTACTTGGATTTTTTTATTTAGTTTGGTTATTTTATCTTTGTCTTAACTTTAATCAGCACCTGTACACTTTTCAAATCATAGGTATTTTTACTGAAAAAGGATTGCAACAGGAAATTTCTCCTGTTCTGCATTATCATATTCTCAAATTGGCTCTTGAACTGCCTGCAAATAAGTTTTCCTGGTTCAGAATACAGGTAAGAGTGATATCCGTGATGTTTAGATATGTGTCTGTGTCTGTATTTATCACCAGGTGTAAGCTGTTCCCATTGCTGTGCTGACCATCTATGTCTCTGCCATCTCTGTAATACTGCATAAGCATCATTTTGAAAAGAGATTTTTGCATTGTTTAAGGTGCATATGAGGAAGATTTGCTCCTTGAAGTGGCAAAATCTAAAGCAATCAAGAACCTATATCGGGCAGTAGTGATATTGCTGTGTAGGGTAAAAAACTCTTTGAAGCTGGGAACATGGAACATAAAAAGCATGAACATGGGAAAGCTCACCATAGTAAAAGATGAAATGAACAAACTACACGTTGTCAACTTAGGCCTCAACAAATTGAAATTGATTAGTGAGCATATTTTAGTTAGAAGAACATACTATTTACTAAGGATATAAAGCACACAAGGCTGTTGAATTTATTGTTGGGAAATTATTGCAAAACAGTATTTGAGTACAGTGAAATTATCAGTGAATAATAAGAATTAAACTTTGTGGGCAGCCTTTAATGTGGCGATATCCAAGTTTATGCTCTAACCACTGATGCAGGAAGGGGAGGTTGATGAGTTCAATTTGAAATCAACAACACTGAGGACATGCAAGCAAAATATGCTGCTTGTGGTTGGAGATTGGAATGCAAAGTTGGAAATAATGAGAGAATGTAGTTGGACTGTATGGCCTAAATAAAATACAGGAAGCAGGAGAATGACTTACCAATTTCTGCCAATCTAATGATTTCTTTGGTTTCAACAACCAAAATGATGTCTGTGTATATGGACCTCACCAGATGGAAGTAAACAGGAATAAAATTTACTATATTGATACAAGGAAGTGGAAGAAGTCAGTTATAACAGTGAAGATATGGCCCAGGGGTGTTGTAGAACACAGATCAAAGCTGCTCATGTACAGGTCAATCTAAACCAGGGATATCAAACTCGATTTCATTAAGGGCCGCATCAGGGTTGTGTTTGACCTCGGGGGAGCTGGGGGGGGGCATGGCCAGGATGGGTGCGGCCAGCTTGATGTCACTTGTGTTGGGGCGCTTGTAGTGGCCTAAGCACTCTGCAGTAAAAATGGGCTCCCAAGCTCCGTTTTTTGTTGCCAAGGCATCCTGCAACCCTCTGCCAGTGAAAACAGAGATCGGGAGGGCTGCCCTCCCAAGCTCCATTTTCACTGGCAGAGGGTTGCAGGAGGCCGTGGCAGCCAAAAACAGAGCTTGGGAGCCCATTTTCCCTTGCAGAAGCACTGTGCGCTGGTCCTTTGCTGTTTCCAGGGTGGCCCTGCGGGCCAGATCTAAGTATCCTGCAGGCGGGCCTTGAGTTTGACACCCCTGATCTAAATGGAAGAATAAAGTCGACCAGCCTACATAATTTTGAACTATACTCACCATTTTCAAGAATGTTAGAAATTGATTTAAAGTCTTGAACATTATTGAGAGGGAATCAGAATGTGAAATATCATCAAAAGAAATTAGGAATAAATATGAAGAGATTGCTACAAAGATGAAGAAGAAATTAAATGAAATTAGATTTAGAGCAAATTGCAACACCAACACCAAGAAAGCCAAAGATATCAGGAAGGAACTTAAGAAAGAATTTCAGAGAGCTGTTACAAGAGACAAGGAGCAATATTACAACCACATGTAAAGACAGTGAAAATGAAAACAGATAAGGAAAAAGAAAGAAGGGCTACTGAAAGATCTCTGAACTCAGAAGGTTATTCCAACCTTGAATTGGTATATTAAAGGGTGTCCATGAACAGATAGTAATTGATTAAAAAATTCAGTCCATGTGCCAATACCAAAGAAGGGAGAAATGTTAGTAGCATTCTCTATACACTATTGGTATAGGTAACACTATTCTAATAACAACATACAAATGACCTGCAGTCTTTATTAATGAAAGTCAAGAAGACAGTGAAAAAAATTAAATTAAGTTTAATAATGAAAAAAACTAAATTAACAGGTACAAGTAATATTCAGTTTACAATTTCACTTAAGGCAGAAATGCTCAGACTCAAATTATCCTAGTTCGGACACATTATGCGAAGACCTTACTCTCTTATAAATTCTATAATGTTTGAAATAGGGAAGGAAAAAGAAGAGGGAGACCAGCAGCATTGTAGGTGGACTTAATTACAGCAGTACTGTGTACATTGTTGGGACATTATTATATTTTATTTATTATATAGAATACATTTATATGGCTTTCCATCTCACAGGGAGTGACTCTGGGCAGTGTACCATGTTGGAAAACTGATCAGCTTATAGGAAATATGTCTATATGGTCCTTTGAAATATTTTCATAACTACAGATGTTAGAGCAACTGGTCTGTAGTCATTCAGTTCCTTGAAAGAAGCCCTCCATGAAGGAACTGAATGACTACAGACCAGTTGCTCTAACATCTGTAGTTATGAAAATCTTTGAAAGGCTTGTGCTGTCCCACCTGAAAACCATCACGGATCCGCTGTTAGATCCCATGCAGTTTGCATACCGAGCAAATAGATCAACAGATGCTGCTGCTAACATGGCTCTGCATTACATCCTACAACACCTTGAATCTCCAAATACCTACGCAAGGGTCCTCTTTGTAGACTTCAGTTCAGCATTCAATACCATAATTCCAGACACTCTTCTAAGTAAATTAAACCAACTAGCGCAGGGGTCCCCAACCACCGGTCCGCGGACCGGGACCGGTCCGTGGAACAAATCCTACCGGGCCGCTGGTTTGCTGGGCGCCGCCATCTTGTTTTGATGAAAAAGTGCTTCCGGTGAGCTTTTCCGGGTAGAAAGCTCACCGGAAGCACTTTTTCATCAAAACAGGATGACGGCGCCCAGCTGATGCCGGTACCGGGCCGCGGCATAAAAAAGGTTGGGGACCACTGAACTAGCGGAACCTGAATACACTTGTAAGTGGATCATAAGCTTCCTAACAGACAGGAAGTAGCAGGTGAAGCTAGGCGGAATCACATCCGATACCTGTACAATCAGCACAGGGCCCCGCCAAGGCTGTGTGCTATCTCCACTTCTCCCTATATACCAATGACTGCATCTCAAACGATCCATCTGTTAAAATACTGAAATTTGTTGATGACACAACAGTGATTGGTCTCATTCGAGACAACAATGAATCTGCATACAGACAGGAGGTTATACAACTTGCCTCGTGGTGTAACCGGAACAATCTGGAACTGAACACACTCAAAACCGTAGAAATGGTAGTAGTCTTTAGAAGAAACCCTCCTGTACTACCACGTCTTACAATAATACTAGAGAACACAGTATCAACAGTAGAGACCTTCAAATTTCCAGGTTCTACTGTATCACATGACCTAAAATGGACACCTAACATCAAAAACATCATCAAAAAAGCACAACAAAGAATGTTCTTTATGCTCCAACTCAGAAAGCTCAAACTGCCCAAGGAGCTGCTGATACAGTTCTACAGAGGAATTATTGAGTCTATCGTCTGCACCTCTATAACTGTCTGGTTTGGGTCTGCAACCCAACAGGACAGACACAGACTTCAGAGGATAATTAGGACTGAAGAAAAACAATTACTACTCACCTGCCTTCAATTGAGGACCTGTATACTGCACGAGTCAAAAAGAGGGCTGTGAAAATATTTACAGACCTCTCACATCCCAGACATAAACTGTTTCAACTCCTTCCCTCAAAACGACGCTATAGAGCAGTGCACACCAGAACAACTAGACACAAGAACAGGTTTTTCCCGAAAGCCATCACTCTGCTAAACAAATAATTCCCTCCACACTGTCCAACTATTTACAAAGTGTACACTACTATTACTGTTAATCTTCTCACCACTCCTTATCACCCATCCCTTCCCACTTGACTGTTTCCTCGTGTGATTTGATTGTTGATTGTACCCTATGACTATCATTAAGTGTTGTACCTTATGATTCTTGATTCTTAACGAATATACCTTTTCTTTATGTATACTGAGAGTATTTACACAAAGACAGATTCCTTGTGTGTCCAGTCACACTTGGCCAATAAAGTATTCTATTCTATTCTATTCTATTCTATTCTATTCTATTCTATTCTATTCTATTCTATTCTATTCTATTCTATTCTATTCTATTCTATTCTAAAAATTGACACTAGCTTGATGGCACATAGTCAAAGGTTGCCAAGACTTGCAGGCTTCTTTACTGTTTTGATTGGTCTTACAAAGATACATTTGTACATATTGTATTTTGTTTTTGAAAAAGCACATTGTTTGTTGCTTCTCCAATTCAAAATATGGAATATGAAATATTGATTCATGCTATGCTCCATTACAGATAGTCCTCGACTTACAACTGTGTATTTATTGACTGTTCAATGCTACAACGGCACCAAAAAAAGTGACTTATGACCATTTTTCTCACTTACAACCATTGCTGCATCCCCATGATCACATGATCAAAATCCAGATGCTTGGCAGCTAACTCCTATTTGTGACATTTGCTGTATCCCAAGGTCATGTGATAATCTTTTGTGACATTCTTACAAGCGAAATCAATGGGGAAGCCAGATTCATTAACAATCATGATACTAACTTAATAACTGCAGTGATCCATTTAACAACTGTGGCAAGAAAGGTCATAAAATGGGGCAAAATTCACTTAACAAATGTTTCACTTAGCAACAGAAATTTTGGGTTCAATTGTGGTCATAAGTCAAGGACTGCCTGTATTTATCTGGTCCCGCTATACACTTATTTAATGTATTTAATGTAAAATATTAGTTACTGTGATGAGAACTGGAATAATTCAACTATAACCGATGCAAATGTGTTCTTTTAGGATGCAGCTGAGAAGGTTTGTGGCGAAAAATCTGTATTTTACCTACTGATGAAAATGTTTGTCACCAGCCCCCATTCACAGCTCAAAATAGCAACCAAGAAATTGATTTTTAAGGTGAGTTATTATTTGCCTAGTGAAAGCAGAGATCATGCCATAGAAACTAATAAGCCTTTCCTGATTACGTTCCATTCCATGTACCATTCCTTATACATAACTGGCATCATCTATAGAAGTAGTTGTAAAGTCCTGGATTGGGAAATGTTGCCTTAGAAGGTTGGGTTTAGAAATTAGCAATATAAGCAACCCCCTTTTTATGTTTTGAAAAACATACCACTTACTGTTTGAATGTACTGTTCCCAGATGAGGATACATTAACAGTTTTAAAAATTATCTGTTGTTTTTTTTTTTTTGCTTTTGAATCAGTCTTGGACAACAACTATACAATTCCATACAGGCAACATTTTTTGGCAACATTTTTGGAAGTGGTTTGCCACTGCCTTCTTCTTAGAGAGTGTGACTAGCCCAAGTCCAAGGTCACTAGCTGGTTTTCTTCTAAGGTGGGATTAGAATTCATGGTCTCCTAATTTCTAGTCTGGTCTCTTTAGCCACTGTACCAGACTCGTTTATGAGGTTAAAATATTATGTTCTGCTTGGCATAATACGTCTCCAGGCAGTGTTCAATATTAAAATAGCTTTTATATAAAAGATAAAGTATGTGCAGGTAATACTTGTGCTCATTAAGCGAATCATATGGTCATTAGACAAATCCAGTTTCCTCCCCCACATTGACTTTGCTTGTCAGAGAAGACATGATTCATTTAATAACTGCCTGGTTTGCTTAATCATGACAAAAACGTCATAAAATTGGATGCCATTTGTCAAACATCCTATGTTGAGGACTACTGATATAGTTGCTCTGACAATAATATACAAATGGTTTGCTGCTATCTTTTTTCCAGGATTTTTTTTTCTGTTTCCAACTCATATCCATAGGAATGAATTTTATTGGTGGTCTCCTATTTCAGGATCACCCTCTTAGTTTAGTCACAGTAAGCCATGGTTTGCTAGATGATTTTAGATGTCTATGGAGATTCTCAGTCATCTAGTTATAGTTGTACCAAAGGCGCTTTTTCAGGCGGCAACTGGACTTTTTTGGTTTTTTAAAAAAAAAAGACATTTCACTTCTCATCCAAGAAGCTTTTTCAGCTCTGACTGGATGGTAGGGAATGGAAGCATTTATATTCCTTGCAGACAGCTGGTCATTTGCATTTTTTTAGAGAGTCATTGAGGCCACTTGGAGGTTTATCTGTGTTCTCAAGGTCACCTGAGTAGTGCAAATGTGTGTGGAGCCTTCTTGGATGCAGGGTGTCTTCTGTGTGTCCCTTTACTGTTGAAGACAGGTGCAGGTTATTGGGGATGAGTCTGTGTTGTCTGCATCTCAAACTGAAGCGCAACTGCTTCTTGTAGTCTGCATTTTTTCTGGAAATCCATTCATATTCCTGCATCATCCGAAGGGTGTTCATCTCAAAGTGCATAGCTAAATGTCTATGGAGCTTCTCAGTCATCCAGGTCATGGTTGTCACAAAGGTCCAGAAGGCAACTGGACTTCCTTGTTGAAGTGAAGCGAAGCAAAGCGAAACGTCTTCAAAAGAGAAACAAGGAAATCCAGTTGCCTCCTGAAAAATCACCTTTAGTATAGGGCTTCTTGATTATATTGACAGAAATGAGATAAGTTCTTAATAGAAGTTACTATTTGTTTTGAATATGAAGGCTATGGTTAATATTTTAGTGTCTGTTGCATATTTATTCAGAAGTAAACTTCACTTAATTAAATGGCAGCCCCTTTTTAATATATGTTTAGAGTTGCAGCCTTAAAAAAAGGAAGGAGTAGGGCTGAAAACCATCTGAGGGAGATGGGCAGTTAAAAGTATGAAAAAATATTGTAGATATCACAAACATGACAACTTTTTAAAATTCAGCTGCAATATTGTGGCCCTTACTAAATTCCAGTGAACTCCATGGAACTTACCAGGATATTTTGGACTGTTAACTTGATTAAATTGATAAATGTTAATTAAATTGATAAATGTTTGCAGCCTCAGTGTAACAAAAGTGACATATTGTTGGGACTGTTTAAAAGAAAAGGCTTTGCCTTGACTTTTTCAATTAAGACTTTTAATTCAACTATTTTTTGGCAAAGAATTAGTTGGTTACTTTTATTGTTCCCAACCAGGGTCCATAACCATTGGAATAGGACATAGTTACTGACTTGGTTCATATATCAGGCAAATCTGTAGCTTATTTTAATTTGTTTTTTGCTGAATGATCAACAATGGCTAAATTTACACCTTATACTAAAACTTATCATTAGTAGTTAGGTTTGCATGTTACAAAAAACATATAAATTAGATGATAACTTAGTTTGACATGTGAAACCAATTATTTATGCATCTAAGCAAGTAATTTTTTTCTGAATAACTTCAACAAGGATGTCTTCAAGTTTCTTCATTCTTCATTCATCATATCCATATAACATGAAATATTTGCTTTTATAAACTATACCTCTCTTTAGCACCTATCAGCACATGCAACCCTTGTATTTACATTTTAGTGAGCAATCCTCCATTATTTAATAGGCTGTCCCATCAACTGTTTTATCCATAATAGGAACAAGTTTATTTCTTTATCTGGGCTTCTTTCAGTGAGTAAAAAAAAAATAATAATGTGGGAAGCTTCCACCCTGCTGTTACTATACAATACTGGCATGCCATCCCTCAGGAACCATTGTTTGCACAATCTGAAACTGGCAAGCTGTGAATGCCTTCTTTAGCTTGCCAAGGGTTGTTACAATTGTATGATAGCAGTGAGATTCATTAGCAAGCCTGCATTTAACATTTGCACAGCTGTTGGATCAGCGCATGGAGTAATATACAGAATGATCTTTTAAGACTGAACTGCAACTGGAAGATGCCTTTGTGGTGAACCTTTGGGAATTTGAGGTTTTCTTTTAAGCAGCCTCTGGATGTGGAGGAGAGATAGTAATTATTTCCCACTCTGTCATCTGATAACTAGATGCTAAAGATAGGCACTAAGTCCTGATAAACATTCAGATGACTCATTTTGTAAGCCATCATAAATTAAGCAAATAAATTGCTTCACATTCAACAACTGCTTTGCTATAAACAAGTAACAGTCTGGATGTAAGCACAACTCTTGGCAAACTGGGTTGAAGAAATGCTTGTGCAGAACCTGTTTGCACATAACGATCCTCGAATAGAGATGCATGTGTGAAAGCTATATATGTTTAGACAGATTGTTGGTAATTAACATTGCTTTTGCATCTATTTTAGAGATTTCAGTTGCAGTTTGCATTAATCGCTGGTACAAGCAAAAACTAATTTCCTGAAATGATACGAGTAATGTAAAATGATGAGAGAGGAGAAGTAGAAGGCTTTCACAATTTTTGAACAGAATCTGTATTACAGTACAACCTGTTTTTAACAAAGCGTAGCAGACTTTTATGGAAAAGGTCATGGTAAATGACTAATCTGCCATCAGCTTTTGTTAGCAATCAGAGTAAAAAGTTGCTGTACAGAAATAGCAGCTAAAATGTATGTATAATACCGGTACTTGTTTTCTTAATAGGTTTTGCACGACAGTGGAGTATTTGAGTACACTGGGAAGGAACTTGAATTGTGGCTCAATCATTTGGATAATACAGTTGAAGCCAAACAGGAAATCGTGATTCATTTTTTGGAAAGGGTAAACAATATGCTAATTAATCAGCTTAACAATGCCAAGAGTAACATTTTGCTAATAGCAAAATCTTTCAAAAGTTATGAATGAATTATAGGAACCTGACATTTTGTAGTCAGGGAAGATGGAACAAAGAAAGTGAGATAAACAAAGCCTTTTATTATAGAGATTTACATCTTATTGACAAAAGCATGGGCTCTCTTTTCCTATCCATATGATATTGTTTATGTGGCAAACTTAGCAAAGGACATTGGAAAGAATGGCACATTATGTAAACTTTGCCTTAATTCTCCCAGTGACATTTTTATATACATATTGCTTCCTTCCTCCTGTGAAAGCAGTAATTTCATTTGACATGCAGGAAAGGCATAATACGGCCCTGAAGGATTACTTCTCAAACAGCTCACTGGTTAAGAATAATAGTACCTTGACTTCTCTTCAAATCTTATAAATCTTTTGTCTTACTAAAGAATAATAAATAATCTGCTAATTTTTCTTATAGAACTAATTGATTAAAGATGACTAAAAATAAATTGCTGCCTTCAAAGATAGCCCAAAATATTCAAGAACAATCCATTTAGAAGGAAGAGTAGAAAATAATAACAGCAATAATAATAATATACGCTTAGTTTTTATTTATATATTATACATTTAATTAATACTTGGGATTACCAGAACATGAAATGAGTTTGCATATGTAATGCAATTAAAGCTCAGTTCACACATCACACTTAATCCCGCTTAATTTTTATCATGGCTTATTAAAAATATTTAATTTGATTTGCTTTAAATTGTCTCGGTTCAGTAAACCATAACCTAGCTACTTCCTTATGGTTAGTATAATGTATGAACTTGTATGTAATTATAGTTTAGCAATTGCAGTGGGGAAAAAAATCAAACCTTCAAAAAAGTGATATATAGGTATTTAAAGTGCCACAATGCAATTTGGTTGATCAGTGTTAGTTTTCTTGATTAAATTGTGTTCTGATAATAAAAATATATAAGGCTGTATAATCATTCAAAGGATTTTCAGGGAATTATTTTGGTTGATATAAAGTTCTGAAAAAAAATATTCTGGAGTATATATTGCGGAATCTACTTGAAGAATAAAGTTGATACAGATATGAATTTCTGAAGTCTGACTGCTTTCCTTGTATTTTTATTCAGCTGAGCTACATGTATTGGTTTTACATGTACATCAATTGGTTTTAAAAACAACATGCACTACTTCAATATCTTTTAAAAATGGATTTAATTTTTTGTTATAGAAAAAAACATCCTATCTCTCCTTTGGAGGATTAAGGAATTTATTCTCTATAATACCTTGATTTCAAATGTCTTATTTTCAATTCATCTTTTAATAAATACTTGTTCCCTTTTCCAGGTCTTGGTCAAAGTGGTAACCAACCCTTATCCATATACGGATAAAGCAGCTGACTTTGTTCAAGAAGCAAGCATTCTTCAGGTCAACTTATTTAAACAAGATGTTGATAATATCAGCGTACCTATTTCTCATATTGATGGTATACCCAATTCTTCCAAAATCATTCTCCTAATCTAGCACTAATATTCTTGGAAATTTACAAAAAAGCAACATTTTTTTAAAGAAGGCCATCAATTATAAAATCTCGTATAAAGTTAAAGCCATTAACTAATATATTGCATATCTACTAGGAACTAAAGACTGTTAGTTTCAATTTTGTGCTTCTGAGCAATTACTGATACAGATTTGTAGGATTTTCTGGATTAAAAAAATATTTGTGCATTAGCTTGCTTTTGGCATTTATTTTTACAAGGCTTCTTCCAAACTTTGGTAAGCAACCACAATCAGGTTTCCATGTCACACTAGATGAAGAAATGCTCTTTTTCCTATTGTATTGTTTTTACATGCATTATATTTGGCCAAAACAAAGTAGGATAAATTAGAATAGATTTTCATTTAAATTAGTGGATGAGATGGGTCTCAATAAACTTGATTTCAAATGTGAGTTTCTATGAAGTTTCAGTTCCAGTCAGTCTCAACTGCTGTAATTGTTTTACAGTAGAAATTTTAAAGTATATATTTTTAATTTTCTTAATAAATAATATTGTGTGTTACTATAAAATATCTAATTGTTAAATAAAATGAGAAATGTTAATTGTTTAAAAAGTTACTGCTTGCCATATGATTTTAAAACATTAAAAACTATAATTAAAAATTTGTAAGGTAGATTGCATATTTATATGGTGTGTGCTAATACTACATGTTATTTTCTTTCTATAAAATTAACAATTGCAATCTCTTTCCTTAGACAGTTACCTCCTTTGCTGCTGATATCAAGAAATATATTTTTATGTAAATGTTTTCTTTCTAAATCAGATGTTCTGGATATGATTGATGTCCTTGTGGAAGACAGTGAAGGTTTAAATGAAGAAATTGGATGCACTTTAAGTGAAGACATGATTGTGAACACGTTTCCATTCAGTGCAATCGTCCCATCTTCTTTAGAAGCAAGAAATAAGTTACTTGTTGATGAAAACGCAAGAGGTTATTTTTGCTTGTTTCTGTAATTTCTATCCTGCTTTTCCATGAAAATAGTGATAATCAACTTAAAATGCTGTTTAACATATTAAAAATTCTTGTAAAAGCACACATAAAAGGGGAACTACACATAAGTAGCAAAAAAAACACCCTAATGTTTAATTTGCACAATCAAAATCAAGCTTTTGATTTTTATTGTGAAAGGTAAACATTATGCTTTTCTCTACAGATAATCATTCAATTTTTAATCTTCCTGATTGAAGTTTGCTGATGGTGCTCTCTGAATGAGGCTTTGAAGACTTCAGTTTTAGAAACCACAAGCATTAATCTTAGTTTTGTTATAGTTGCTGATTCTCTTTGTAGAAGAAAGCATTGTGGAATACCTTATTGCTGTGTTCACTGACCTCCTGCATTCTCAACGAGATCCTTTAGCCCTTTGCCTGATGTTTCAACACTATGATAAAGAACTTCAGTCTGTCAGTGCTCATCTTTGTCAGTTCAACTGTTATTATAATCGTTGGATACCACAACAAGCTAAGGAAGCTTTGGTAAGCAAGTCAAAATGTACACTAAATAGCATAATTCGATGTTAGTTAACATTATAACACATGGGGGAATTATACATAGCAAAACATGCTCAAATTTAGTTATACAATTTGAAATCCGGTCATCCTTTTAGTTTTCTCTTTTTTGATGCATCTTTTTAAATCATCAATCGGTGGCATGGTGGAACTATACTATGAAAAGTGGACTGATATTATCTGATATATTTTTAAAAAAATATTATAACTGAGTTCATTTAAGTCTGGTAGCAGGAAAAACAGGCTAAATCAGCCCTGTTTTTTTCAATAAACAATTCTTCCTGTCCATGGAATTTCTTTTAGATTATTTTGATTTGTTTTTTATATTGATGTTCCTAGGAGAATAATACGCTTGTATACTATAAAACAATAAGCACTAATGAGCACTGATGCTGTTGCCTAGTTTGGGTAACGAAAGGTCTGTAAGAAAACAACCAAGCTCAGGGAGCACTAAAGCCCCCTTGTTTTAACCCTGAGCTATAAATATTCTCTTTTATTGGTATTACAAAATGTGTTTTGTTATAAATTTCGATATAAGCACATTGTTCTTTTAAAAGCTAATTTGAAAAGAAATCTGTCTGAAAATTAATCCAAAACAGAGCAACAAAAACTTAATTTCACATAAGCTTGACCTTAATTTCAGGACTGTTTGGAGGAAGTAGAAAAAAGATGAAGCAACTGATCAGCATTCCTTTGGTACATGTTTTGTGACACTGCATGCATGTACACAAGTTGTAGAGGGCAAATTTGGTATAGTAGTCAAGGCATCAGGCTAGAATTTGGGGGAGCATGAGTTGTAGTTCCATCTTAGCCATGACAGCCAGCTGTAGGTGACCTTGAGCCCGTCACATTCTCTCAGCCTTAGGAAGGAGGCAGTGACAAACCACTTCTGAAAAACTTTGCCAAGAAAACTGCAGGAACTTGTCCTGGCAGTCTCCAAAAATTGGATACAACTAAATGGAGGGGAAAAACCCACACAAGTGAGTTTGTGTTTCATTGCCTGATGCTGCTTTTGTCATTTTGATGTCTTTGCCTAATTTAAAAAAACTTATTGCAGGTAGTTTAGTTCTCTGGCAAGAGGAGTTGGTTCCTTTTCCAAGTTTCTTCTGTTTAAGTAAAACTATAAACAGTTTCCTTTACATACATGTAATTCTGTTTTCTTTTGCTCTTAACTCAGTTCCAGGAAGACGGGAACAAGAGTGTGGATGAGGTGTGGTCATCGGATTCCTCCTTTTTTACCTTGTTAAAGAATAGCTATCAGAAAGGTGTTGCTGTTTTATTGGAAGAGGATATTCAAACAAAGCTAAATGAAGCTATTTCCCAGCTCCAGCCTCAGCAGCTCTTGTTGGCTTTAAAACATGTTCTTCTGTACCTAAAAACTACGGTGGAGAACTTCGGCAGTGTGAGCTTTTTTTTCTTCTTGTTTTTTTGAAAGCAACTTTAATAATTACGTACAGATCCTTACATTAAGGACCGTCTCAGCTTTAGATGACAGCAAACATGCACTTTCTGAAGCAGGTGTATTGTATGTAGCTAAAAATACATATAATCTCTTGATTCAGGCTTCTAAGATACATGCTTGTAGTAGTGTCCACTTGTAAGCATTGATTACAATGTTGTATGGAGATACAAAACATGTTGCACGGACTTGCAAAACAAATAAATGAAGCCTATATGCAGTAATTAATATGTCCCTTTGATAAAATATATAATTGAGATGTTTTTCTCAATGCCCCATTTTTTTCTTCACTTATCACTTGTCTATCATTTTTCCAACAGTTGGGCAAAAATTATGGCCTTTCCCTTGTTACTGTCTACATGGATTTGTTGAAGAGCTTGTTGCACAAAGGTGATACAGAGTTGGGTGATCAGCCTGAACAGAAAAATACCCAGATTGAACCTGAACTTTTTATGGAAGCAGAAATTTTGATACAAGACTCTGAGAATGACAAGGTGCTAATTTTTCTGTGTGGATATTCTGGAGAAAAAAAATAATGCATGCTCTTTACTGTGCATTTACATGGACAAAATCCATGAGATATTTTTATTTTTTTGCTTAAAATGAGCCATGAGTCATGTTCTCACTACAGTGAGAGAGAAAAATATCTCATGCACAAGTTTTGTTAGATAGCAATCTGAAAAATGAAATTCACGACCTAATACTTTGTATTTAGCCTACATTTTCCAAAATGTGCCATGGTCCTGGTAGGACATGCAATTCCTAGTAGAGGAAGATGTGCTATCTAAGATTGATTATAATGTGTTCCAGTAAGAATGAAACTGTTTATACACCGCTTATTGTTGGTCAGTATATGGCAGTATAGGGGGTGTGGTGGCTCAGTGATTAAGACGCTGAGCTTGTTGATCAGAAAGGTCAGCAGTTTGGCGGTTCAAATTCCTAGTGCTGCGTAATGGAGCTCCTGTCATTTTTCCCAGCTTCTGCCAACCTAGCAGTTCAAAAGCATGTAAAAATGCAAATAGAAAAATAGGAACCACTTTTGTGGGAAGGTTACAGCATTCTGTGTGCCTTCAGCATTTAATCATGCCGGCCACGTGATCATGGAGACATCTTCAGACAGCGCTGGCTCTTTAGCTTTATAACGGAGATGAGCACCGCCCCCTAGAGCCGGAAATGACTAGCACGTATGTGCGAGGGGAACCTTTACCTTTTATATAGCAAAATATCAGAGATAACTTTACATAATCATAGAATGACAGGGAACATGTAAGCCATTGTGTGCAACACCCATCTCAGTCCAGAAATCCAGATTAAGGTATCGTTGACAACTGTTTAGATTCCACTTCAGCATATCCTGTGAAGAGGAACTTAGCACATCCCTCAAAAATTGGTTTTGCTGTAAAACATTTACTGTTTAAAAGTAGTTCTTGTTTTGTGGAACCATTTTTCTCAATTTTTCAGTCAAAATCTTTTGATAAATATTTTTTTTTCAATTTGATCTATATTATTCAGGCTGAATGTACTATCAGGTGTCAGCTTTCAGATCCCACTCTTAATTGTACTAGAGAAGGCTGTTGCTTTCTTACTGAGTAAGTGAACTTTACTAGGGAGCAACAGTGAAAAACAATGTTGATCAGACACTGTTCTAATCCAATAAAGTTCTTATGTTTATTGGACAAAGTTTTTATTGCAATTATTTCTATTTTAGATCATGGAAGAGATGCTCTCTTTGGTCTTCAAACACCCTATACTGGAAAATTGGTTCCTGGCTATAGAACAACATTCCCTCCCTCCACACAGTCTTAATCCAATTAAAGTAAAACTACTTTCAAGTCATCTAAATCGCAACATTCTTGACTTGTTGAAAATGAGTTGCCCATTGCTACAACTTAGGAATCAGCTAGATATACTCTGCAGATATTTTGAGGCCATCACAAAGACTGTTTTGGAAGAGCTGCACACTGGTGCAAAAGAAGGATGCAGAATATCTCCCAAAAAATCTCTGCAGATAGAAGCTTTACAAGAGCTGCACATTTATATGAATACGGACCAACTGAGAGAGATCATGCTACAACTTTGCAAGGCCAACCTCGCCACTTCAAAATCTGAAACTTTAGCTGGAAAAAAAATATGTCTGAACATTCATGGACAAACTTTGATGCAGCTGCTCACAGATGGTTACCAAAGAGGTTCTCTGAAAGGAGACTCCTTTTTTTCAAGTGAGCACATTCAAGGAATGAGTATCCTGTTGTCTGCATGTATCACCGGACAGTTGGAAAACATCTTTATGTGTGTGATACAGAAAGAACCTACCTTTGCCCTGGCAGTTGACATTAAAGTGCAGCTTTTGTGCCTTAAGCGTTCCACAGAAATTTCCCTTTCTATTGTAGCTTTGTTGATTCAGTACTCTCACACTCATTTGCTTCATTTTGAGCTTTGGTGTCTGAAGAGTAGTACAAGCAAATTTCTAAAAATGAATGCAGCCCTTTTTATGCCCCTTGTTAATGTGTATTTGGACTGTCAAGAGAAGCAACATTTCAAATGCTTATCAAAAGGTAATCATGCCAGCTGATTTTTAACACTACTCTAACCATGTTATGAGCGCCTCGGGAATAATATGTTAGTTTTTTAAGCCTAACATTGTTTTAAAAAGTAGGACATTGAAAGGTTGTCTTATTTCTGATTCTTTTATTTTTTGAATATTTTGTTCTGCATTTCTTTGAAACCATCTGCTGGGCTGATGCGTGCTTCTATAATATTGCCTAGGATAAATGATGCAAGAAGCATTTATCTAGATCTTATTCTGTTAGCTTTTTCTTGTTTGAACCTTCTTTCCAAGTAGGAACCTTATCTCTTTCGAAGCAGATAAACATTTCTCCAGAAACAGTTCTCTCTCGGCTAGAAATCCTACTCTTCTGTTGAGTCTATATTTAAAAAGCTCTTCTTAAGATTTAAATTTGTTACTGTGGGCCCTGATGCATATATAATCCCCTACATTTTGGAAATGTTTATTTGTTCCTTTGTACCTTGTTTTCAGCTGTTAAGTCTGTCTTGAGAGAAGCTCTATGGCCAGAATTGCTGAATAAGATTTTGAAAGTGCCGTCTGCTGTGGAATGTCTTGTTCTTTCCAAATTATTGCCACTATCCGATACCAAGGCCTTTACTGAACTAACAGAAAAATTGACTTTAACTCTTGAGAGACTTGGAAATCATGAACAGTAAGCTTACATAATTTCTAGCTGTGAAAGAATTATACATGTGAACCATTTAGTATTTATTTTAATTTTAAAACAAGTAGAACTTCAGAATCCTCTTTTTGTAGTGTATTTTGAAGTGTGGATGAAAAACATAAAGTTTAATGTAGATATGTAATAGTTAAAGAAACTAAGCCCACTTTTCCCTCATATGGCCCAATCCATGTTTGCTGCCTTCTATTCACTTAGCAATAGAAATTTGGGGGTCAATTGTGATTGTAAGTTGAGGATTACCTGTAGTTATGTTGAGTTTATATAAGGGGGGAAGGTTGGGGGCATGTGGAGAATTGAAATAAAGATATTGCCTCTGCTCTGATACTCTTTTCAAATCTCTGCAGGTGGATAATTGCTGATGCTGTATCCAGAGCTCTGGAGACCTCTGCAGAAAAAGTGCATTCATGGAGGAAACATCTACTAGTTGCTTGTATGAAGTGGTTGATCCTGTCCTTCAGTAGTAACCAAGAGCAAGAAATGCATTCCGAAGTGGAGAATACCATGCTATTGAAGCTAGAAAACTTATTGGTGAGGACTGGGATTTTCCATTAATTTGTACATTAATTTATTAAGAAATGATGGAGTATTAGACACAAAAGATGCTGAATGTAGCAGTACATTTGAAGGTTTCTTTTTCATTATGAAGTGTATATCCATAGATGGATCCATAGGTATGCAAATATTTGCAAATGCTAGTTTTTCAATTTTGTTAGAATTTTGGAGAGCATGGTTACGAGGTTTCAAATGTTGCCAATTTCCTCTATTATTGCATTCTATTAAAAAGAGAAGAGTAATATACTTTCAGTACTCACTAACCTCCTAACTTTTCATAAATTTCTGTTAAGAAGCAACTACTCAAAAGTTTGATTTGATGGTGTTTTTAATTATGAAACCATGAGATTGAAAATGGTAGGAATAAAAGTTATTTACTATTAATAGTTATCATGATTTGCAAACTCCTTCATATAGCATTAAAATTCTCTACCGTAGCACTTTCCCTTTAAAAGTGATGAAAATTGTTAATCATGGAAGAAGATTTAATTCACTTTAGTGTAAACGATAGAAGAAACATCATAGGAGCCAATCCACACCTTTTTAAAAAAAGTGTCATGCCAAAATTTTTAACATTTGTCAGTTTGCTCGGTTGAATTCATAAGAAAGGATGGGATTACTCTTTCCACAGAGTGCAGAGACCTCCTTTTGAATGATCTCTCTTCCTAGTTTAGGCCAATCAGTTCTGAAAGCTTTATTATATTGCAGTGCGTGATATATTACTATTTCTTGTCTATCCAGAATTCAGTAACTGAAGTGATTCCAGACGACTGGAATAGTTTTGTGAAGCTGGGGCTGAAGTAAGCATAATTATGTTTATAGCAATGATTCATTTTTTTCAAATAGCTAACCTAGAAAAATTCAGAGAGCACTCTGCTTTAATATGTCTATGGAGATTCTCAGTCATCCAGGTCATGGTTGTCCCAAAGGTGGTTTTTCAAGAGGCAACTGGACTTTCTGCTTTTTATTTGCTTCTCATTCAAGAAGATTTTTCAGTTCTCCCTACTTCCATTACTCTCTACTTCTACACAAATGAAGTGTTTTTGATTAATTATGTAAGCTATTTTACTGAATTATCTCTCCCTCTCTGTATATTTAGAATAATTTCTATACAGACTGTATACATGCAGAGAATTCTACTGATTCTTCAGCCATTGGATGAAGAACTAGATTGTAGATTGTAGATTCAGATTAATCAACCTGAATAAAGTGCAGGTTCCACTAAAATTTGTCACTTCTATAGTAATGTAAATATGAGGTGAATTATTGATGGAAGTAGCCATACAGATGTATTGATGTCAATATCTATGAAATATAACAACTGCCTGAATGCAAAATTGCTTCCTAATTATGGAATTTCTTTTAATTTAAGAAATAATATCTAATATACCACGTGATTGTTCTTTAAAGCTGAAACACATAATCTGAACAGCCAAAGCCCCGGAAACCCTGAATACCCAGAGCCCCAGAAACCCTTTGGCCTCTTATAGATCTGCAAAAATTGCTATTAAATTGTAATTGTTAATGTGGCAAACAAGGATAAATATGAAATGATTGAATGGCTACCCTTGTTTAGCAACTGTTCCCAGTTACAACAGCAATGAAGAAGTAACTTTTTGACCAGTCCTCGCATTTATGACTCTCTGAAGTCTATAAACAAAGAACAATGGTTTTAAGCACAATTGCGATTTTACTTAGTGACTATTTCATTCAACACCAGAGTTGTGGCTCTCAATTGTGGTTACTAAATGACAACTTCCTATTGAATTAAGTATATTTAATTTTAATTAAATGTAAAGATAATTTAAATAGTTTGATTTTTTTTTCTGGTCCAACCCACTAGGAAGTCCAGCATGCAACTAAAAAGCCAAGTTTATGAAAAAATAAGTTACTGGATGAGTTGAATGATAGCTCTAATTATTCATTGTGTAACATGGGCAGACAGATACAATGTATCCTTTCTAGAGGGCTCCAGGTTGGGGAGGCAATTCGGAAGCCCATTCATTGTTTCTACAAACCTCAAAATAATGTCAGCATGCAGAAGAACTTCTGGTTATATCTCTCTCTCTTTTTTTTTGCACAAGCTTGGTAGCAGAACAGCCTGATGTTTGACTTAATGTCTTTTAATTGCCATGCAGGTATCGTTATAAAAGCCAAACTTTCCTGAAAACTCTGGATGCAGCTATAAATGTATTATACCAGAAAGAAAACTCTTTAAAAAAGAGATTAACCAAACCTGAAGTGCTTTACATGATGATCACACAGCATTCACTGTTTTTGTCCACAATGTTGAGACCACAAGAAGGCAGTGACATGAATGCTCATCTAAGAGGTCTCTCTTTTTTTTCTAAGCTTCTTTGGTGTTTAATGAATAATTAATATATTTGCAAACCATTTTTCCATACATTTTGTTTGTTGCCCACTGATGTATTCTGGCAGTAGTGTCTATCTAGCACTATCAGTTTCTTTCATGATAACTTATAGACTCATACAGACAGCATACAAGTTTAATAAATTATTATAATGCTCAACTTAATTTGTCAGTGAACTTTAAAAAAATGATTATATATGGTTATCATATATACTGAATATCTCATATACAGTAGTTACAAAATGTATGTGAGAGAAAAGTGAGAAATACTTTCTCTTCGTAAAAATTGCTGATAAAACTGCTGATTTCCCAGGAAATTAGTTTTTATCATTCTCTCAAGTTCATTTTCCCAGAGGGTCCTGAACAAATTAAATGTTTCCTAAGCTTTAAAAAAAGATATTTATGTGGGATTATTGTTAAATAATTATTGATCTATAATGTTTGTACCAATAAACACTATTCTTACGTAGTCCTCACCAACCTGTTGCCTACAATTCCCAGGATATCTTGCCAGCATGTAGTTGGAGACACATCTATAGGTTTCCAATTTAGACACTAGAAAGTTCTGTGCAAAGTTTAACTCATACGAATGGGAAACTTGCAGAAAATTAGTGTGGGGTTATTATAATGTTTTATTTATCCCAGAAGACCCTGCCCAATCAGCTTAATGTGCAGCATGATTATGTTAAGAAAGTGTTGGGGGAAAAAATCAAATTGCATGGTGGGAGGGAAAGAGCTAAATACCTAAATACCCTTTTTGTTTTCAGAGGCATTAGTGAACCTCCTGTTGTCTCTTGTGAAACTCTGCCCTGCAGTTTGTGAGAGAAATCATTTTGCTGTGCTGCTTGGAGCATATGGTGCAACACTGAGCATTTCAGGTGAGCAAATTTTCTCTTGAGAGTGATGTTTATTAACAAAAAAGCTCCATTTAGAAGAGGAGGGGGTATTGATTGTGTCATGTTTGACTTAAACTGCAATTCTCAAATCAATCAAGAAAACAGACAAAAGTTAATTTAAAAAGATTTTGTGTCTTTAAGGGCTTGAACGAAACATTCATTTTTTTCTGCATTTTTAAACTAACACTGAGCAAAAATTCAAGAAAAGAAGGCACACTGCTCAAGACATAGCAGTAGTGATGACTGGGTGGGGGCTTGTATTATAGGGTGGACTGAGCCTGGAGGATATTGAATATACCTTGTGATAGGTGTTCAGGGACTTCAGGTGGACTCATAACTATATTAAAGTCACTTTCTCTGTTACTAGATGATGAATGTTTCCATAAAATATTAGAATTCAAGATGATGATAGGATATGAAAGCTCAAAACTGTGAATGACAATAATGAGTCAAAGACGCTAGTTTTCACAAGCCCTCAGTGAGACACCTGAATGTATGAAGTTCCTGAAATGGAAAGAATAGGGTGGGCACACATCTATCTTTAGCCTCCATATGAATGTAATATGGCTATGTTCTTAGGCATGTGGGTTTCCTCTAGATATAGGTCATTTTTACATTGTCTTTCTTTTTTTTTTAGATCAGAAGATATTGTTTTTACTTAAATTATATGAAAATAATGGTCTAAGCCTTCTTGACTTCAGGTTTGTGTATATACATCTTGGTCATTGTAATAGGTGAAAAATGTACCTTTCTTGTCAGACTTATTTTGCTATGGTTTGCTAAATCAGGGTTGGTTGAATAAACCATATATTCTGGGTTCATAAAATAGATTAAGATTTAAACTATTTATAGAAAATAGTTTATATAAATATAAACTATTTACAAAGTACAAAGCTTGGGTTTACAATGCATAATAAGTCAAAATCAAGTAAGCAACTTGATACATAACCTAAAACTATAGGCCACATGAGACCCTTCAAAAAAATTGTGACTCTCAGAAGCCTTCAAACAGTAATTTTTAATGTGGCAAAATAGGAAAATTATTTAAATATATAATGAGTCTGATCTTAATTCATTTAATTTTAATTAATGCTATAAGCTTACTAAACAAAATTCTTTAGTTTTGGCCTGCCTCCACCTGTTAGTTTTTGGAATGAAGCCTTCCCAATAAATATTTATACAGTTTTGGAATAGAATGATATCAGAATGGAGTCCCTATGTCTACAATCTCTCCTTAAATTATTTACTGCTGCCATAAGTGCCTGTGGCCGTTAACTCAAAGTGCAGTAAGTAATATGAATCATCTGACTACTGCCATCTTCCTACAACTAGAAGCAGCAGAAATGCAGAATGGGACCTCCCTTGCCTACCATATATGTGCAAGGAAAGATAAGATAATGACGTTGTTTTATCTGTTAGGAAAATGGCAGTTTGCTGTCTCTTTGCTTTGCAGGCCTTCAGATACTGGTATTTGGTTATGGGTTTCAGTATAAACTTAGTGAACTGATAAATTCAGGGACTGCCCTTTCGTCTGATCATTCTCCCAATTTACTTCAATGATAAGGAAACGCTGTTATATAAATATTCTTCCCACAAGAGATAGAGTTTAAGGAGAGATGCTTATCATCTCTCCTGGTCACAAACTGGTCGAGAATATAATGGTAGCGCTTAAATATCTGGATCATTTTGCCCCTGGGACAAGCAATATTCAATAGAAATACTTCCCTGTCTTTGACATATTTTTTTCTGAATCATTAAAGAAGAGCATCTTGAAGGGAACAGTTTGGGTTCTGTTGTAAAGCTTTTGTTTGATTAAATAAAAAAAACATTATGAAAAGAAGCCTTCTGCTGGTAGTGATTTTGTTGACACACTTTGCAGGAGTCAAGACTTTGTAAAGATAATTCACTGTGATCATCTCTCTGCAATTTACCAAAACATACAGCATGGGGACTAAATGTCATTTCATAATGATTTAATTTTGTTTGAAATGGCTTAGAAAGGGAAAAGGAAACACATTCTTGTAAGAAGGGAGGCAAAAGCTAGCTTTATTCTACTATGAATGTCAGATTAATATTTTAATTGCTATCTTCTGTTCAAGTGCAACATACAAATGCATGTTTTTCCCCTGGTCTAATTCTAGAATATTGCTGTGGGGTCCAGCTGCTGTGGAGCATCATAAAACATGCAAAAGTTTGGGGAAGTCACTGTGGCAGCAACCAAGCATGCAAGAAATTATGTGCCTGCTGGATCGAGAAGTAATGATGAGGACCATACTCCACTTCCCCCAGCATCGGCTTCTTCTTTCCCCTGAGGTGCCTTGGACTTAACTGCAGATTTCTGTTCTTTTTATATATAATTTAACTTGATGCTCAGGGGTTAACCATCAGATCCCTGTTCAGAATTTGTTATTTTGTTTTGAGCTGACTATTGAGGAAACCGTTAAAATGTTTTTGCAAAAAGAAAAATCAGTCAAGCCAACATATAGCAGTAATTTCTAAGTGTACAGGTAGTCCATAACTTGCAATTAGTCATTTAACAACCATTCACAGTGATGATGGCCTTGAAACAGGTGCTTTATGGCCCATAAAGCACTTCTATTGTCACAAAACATTGTGTAGGGCTCCCCCCAATCACATTATCACATTTCAGCACCTTGGCAACCTGTTCTCATTTATAACCAGTTGCCAGAGTGTCCTGTGAACATTTATACTCTTCTCTTTGACCTTCCCCAGAAAGTTAATGGGGAAGCCAGCAAGGAAGGTTGCTGGTGGGAGGGGAGGGGGCATTGGTTTCCCTACAACAGGGGCCCCAACCTCTTCCCACTTCAGAGCTGTGGCCAGTTTGCAACTGGGCCATGGAAAGCATTAGGCAAGCTCACATGTTCAACTCCGCATGCACACATGGAGCTGTGAACTTGCATCTGTGTGACTGCCACACAAATAACCATCCCCTGTTCCCCCACATCGGGCCGCCAAGCTAGAAGAGTTGGGACCATTGCCCTACAAGCACTGAGGAGTTTCCCCTCCCTTCTATGTAAGGAGAAGAAATCCTCCCATGTGCTGAAGGAAAGGACCTCAAATCTGGCAAAAATGCTAGTGAATGCTAGCATTCTGCACTTTTCAGAATGCTTTCTTTCCCCAGAGGTGAAATTCTTGATGTGCTGAAGGAACAGACTTCAAATCTGGTTAAAAAGTTAGCATATGCCATCTTTCTCATCATTATTTTCCCTGGTAGGGCAGGCAGAGGGCCCTAGCCTCCTGGGTGTGGTGGGAGGCCCAAGCCCTCTTCTTGCCCCACCCAATACAGGAGGCTGGCACTCTGCATAATGACCCATGGGGTTGCTTAACTTCGACTGGGAGAGCCAGTCGTTGAGCAAATATATAGCACAGTACAGTGTTGGCTAACCTTTTCAGCACCAAGAGCCCAAAGCATGCATGCGTGCGTGCATCCCCAATATTCAATGCATGTGCATCCCCTATGCATGCACATGTGGCCTCACACATGCGCCCCTGCACATGTGCCTCACCCTCATGCATGCGTGTGCCCCCATGCATGCACCTTGGCATCCCCGTGCATGCGTGCCGCCCCCCATGCATGTGCCCACCCTCCACACACGTGCTGCAAAGACCCAAAGACCAGCTGGCTGGCGGGAGGCACACATGCACAGTGGAGCTGAGCTGGGACAACGGGTCACATGCCCAAGAGAGGGCTCTGCGTGCCATCTCTGGCATACGTGCCATACGTTCGCTATCACAGGCATAGTTGACAATCGCTTTGCTCAACAATTGAGATTCCAGGCCCAATTATAATCATAAGTGGAAGATTAGCTATATTTTTTTTCCCAGGATTTGTATCAGAAGTTCTGTGAAAAGACAACCAAAGGACATAAAATCCAAGAAGCAAATCGAAATTTATGTTTTTCATTTTAGGAAGAACATACATTACAAAGCAAAGGGAAAAGTGATGTGGCTTTTGAAGATCTCTATGATCCATGTTTTCTTCTCCAGCTATTCAGTGAATTATTAAGGCCAGGTATACAAAGTGATTGTTTTGCATTGTCTGTTTTTGTTGGCAACTTCTCTATGTTGTTCAAACTGAGGATTCCATTGTATGTCCTGCATGCCTTTATACTTCCTTTTATCCTGCAGACAAATGTTTAAAACAGGCTAATTTCACGAATCTTTTGACTACAGAATTCTGCAGGATAGTTGACCATCCTTAGCTATGAATGTGGGCCAAAGGACTTGTGTTTCTTTTTTTGTGGTATTATAACCACACCATCAGGCAAATGTTTAATTATTCTCACTTTTTAAAATCCATATTACTTAAAAAAGAGAAAGATATGGCAGTTTCCAGAACTGATTATTGTATCAGCAATTGTTTGCTTAGCAGCCATCTTTCCAAGGTTCTGTAAATAAGCTCTGTGTCCAACATAAATTAAAGCTACATTAGAAACTGATTCTAGCTGGCAAGGTCGGGGTTTTTTGTACATGTCCTAGACCTATTTTCAGATTAATCTTCAGAAAGTTCATGTAGGCCTTGTCCATAAAAAGGTTTTATCCTTGATAGAATGTGTCTTTTTATAAAATGGAATTGGATGGGGGATTAACCAGAACCATTTTTCATTTTGCCTCTGTCCTCACAATTGCAGTGGTTTGCATTAGACTTACTGTTCCACAAACATATGTGAACTGATTGAATACAAATTCAAACCCTTCCCACAGGATACATAGAAAAGTGTAGTAAAAGATAAATATTCTGTTCTTACTGGCCATGAATATGCATTCTGATAGAGGTCAGCTGAGAAAAAGGGAGGAAAAAATGGTATTTATACCAGAATGTAGAATCCATTAGAAGGGTGCAGTAGGGATCCTGATGTGTGAGGAGAACATTAAGGCAATTCAACTTTATATAAGAGAGAGCAACAGAGAAGGCTGTTTTTCTAACGAGACTTATTATCACTCTGTTGGTGATTGTTGTGATTTTAATGTGTGCATTCAGATTTTATTTTCTTAAAGTTATTTTTGAAACATTTTCTTATTAAAAATGCATATTTATTTTCTTCCTGCTGTGTAGAGTGTGTGGTGGCATGTCATAAGTTCATTGAAGTCAATGCATTGGGTTTGACAGTAGCTGCCCTTAGCAGCTATGACAGTAACATGCGTGCAGCTGCCTACCATGTCCTGAGTTCCTTTCGCTCTCATCTGGAAGCGGCTCGATTTCGAGAACAGAAACAGGTAGAGATGAGTTAACCTTTGTACCAGAGGTGGCATTCAGCAGGTTCTGACCAGTTCTGGAGAACCGGTAATGGCAATTTTGAGTAGTTTGGAGAACCGGCAAATACCATCTCTGACTGGAGATTTTACACTATCCTCATGCCCAGCAAGGCATGCCCACAGAACCGGTAGTAAAAAAAATTTGAATCCCACCACTGCTTTGTATCACTTGACAGAAAAACAAAATTTCTTGATTAAAATGAAATCCAGCCTATTTCAATAATGTATATGGAATTTATAGAATACTTTGATTGTTAATTTTTAAAATTCAATCTGGAATCATGATTAGAATGCTTATTTTTTCCTCTGTTAAACGAAAATGTTTTAGAACACTTTGTAATTTATCTGTCTTCCTGAAATTTGAGGTTATAAATGAATTAACAGGTAAATTAATTCAACTATGGATTAATATTCTTTATGCAATTTTTAATTAGATTTATGCAAATAGTAATTTCTATTTTATTGTGCATCCAGATTGATCTTGTTTCTTCAAATGCTGTGGTTTCAATGAGTGTGTTAATCTGGGATTAGGATAAATACAAATTTATTTGCAGTTGCTCTAAAGGAAAATAAATATTTTTCTATGAAAAATAGTTTTGTGAGTGCAATTAAAGGTTTCTAAATGGAATTTTAAAAAATATTTTTCCAGTTATTTTACTTTTACTCTTTTTTGTAGTTGCTGTACCTTATGGATGTTGTGCAAAATGGAATAAAACAACCAAACCTCAGATTTACTTTCCCTTTAACACTGTATATAGCTCGAGTTGCCCAGCAAATACTGAAGCCAGGTATTATAGAACTTTCTAGTGTTTTTGTCTTATAGTTTTTGTCTTGTTTGTTTTGGTAGTGGTCTCTGACTAGCATACAAAACATATATAAGTTAAAGAGGAATAGAAGGAATAGAAGAAGACACTTATGATGTTACCTAGCCTGATAACAAAAGATTTGGGAGCTAAATGGCAAGCTCAGAGGGCAAACCATTACAAAACAATGGAAATATTTGTAAAGATCAAAAAAAGGGGGGGCAAATGGCCATTTTCCATTTGAGGTATCTGTGTGATAATGCCTCCATTGAAGAAAAGTTAATAGTAGAAGGGAAAATACAGTGAAGTTAATTGTATGTATATATATGTACAACAAAACAAATTAAGAAAATGAAAATGATAGTTGCTACCTGTGATTTGTATTACAAATTTTATGTTTTATACATGAAGAATATTTTTATTGTTGATATAAGAATATAACATAAATGAAGTTCTATAATGTGCTTTGTAATGAATATGAAAATATGCAGTTCTTTTTCATGAGCCATGGTGGCGCAGTGGTTAGAAAGTAGTATTGCAGGCTAATTCTGCTGCCTGCCAGAAGTTCGATTCTCACCAGCTCCTTCCATCCTTCTGAGATCAGTAAAATGAGGATCCTCTGTTCTAGGGGGACAATATGCTGATATGTAAAATCGCGTAGACAGGGCTGTAAAGCACTGTGAAGTGGTATATAAGTCTGTGCTACTGCTATTTTTATAATATTCAATTATGTGTTGTTTTTACAGAGGAGCATATGTATACAAAGTTGAACAGATTTCTTCTATCTCACCAATATTTGGATTTGAGAAAAGTGCCAGGATTTTTTCACCTTTTCTATAGTTTTGATTCAGAGGTAAAGAGACTCACGTGGAGATTTTATGTTCAGCTATCTTTTTTTCATCGTCTTCTGCTCCATTGCTTAGATATTACTGTTCAACTACTTTCCTGCTATTATGTTGCCATTTTAAACATGTTCTCCAGAAAGTCTCATCTTGAAAAACCTTTGCAACTTTTGCATGCTTATTTGACATAAAAATGTGTAATATTGTTTTACATCCATATGCAACCAAAGGTAGACTTTCTGATAGAAAATAGATTTTATTTCACCATATATGCAGAATTATTATGAAAATCTTTGGGTATTATGGATTGCTAATATTTTTTTAGTTGAATCTGCTGATTCAAAGAAAACTGGATAAAATTGAGTTGTAATCACTAAATTGGAAAAATACTTGCATGTAATATCTGGAATTTAACTGGTTCAACTTTGGTTTAAGGTTTTCTAAAAAAAATTAGTGTCCTTTTTGAAGCACATCTGTTGTCTGGACTCAGCATTCTCTTTACATGAAAAAGAACTGTAATGTAATTTTGCTTGATTCCCTGATGATGTTTTTTGCATTTTCTTTGTTTTCTAGAACAAAATGGAGCGTGAATGGGTTCTAGCTATTATTGGAGAAGGTCTCAGAGATAAAAACTGCTATCAGCTGTATGATTATCAAAGGATTTTCCATGTCATTCTGTCCTTCTTCCATAGCCCATTATGTGATGAAGCAACACAGGTAAAACTCTTCTAAAAATAAAATGGTTTTCATTTCGTTTAGAGCAGGAATGAAATTTACACCTTTATTCCAAGATGTCAACCTGAGTCTGTCAGTGTAAATTGAACTCTTGGCTATACATTTTGTAATAAATGTAACATTTAAAGCAAAAAAATATAGAGACTTTTCAAACATTGTTCAGAGAGATTTTATACTCTGATGCAGACGGTTGCCATTTCTGTGAAATGCTGTGGAAGATGGCAACTACAGCAACATCACTTTATTCTCTTCCCTAGGAAGTTTGATAGTATATGAACACAGATAATATGATAATTAGTATTTCTCCAAATATTCCAATTCTTATAGTTAGCATTGAATTGTAGCCACTATTAGTAAATCATGAGATGCTATCCTGATCTATAACATGGTGGCTAGAAAATTCCCTTTTATCACCTTCTTTTATTAATAGTGCTTTTTTTTTGTTTTTTTTTGCTTTTCAGTATCAGATTCTGGAAATACTTCAAAATGCTGCATATATCACTAAAGCTGCTTATGAACTAATAAGGGACCATAGCCTTTTAACCTGGCTGTTATCCATTGTTGAGAAAAGGTACACAGAAATTTCTTTAGGGGCATCTATGGTATCCAGGAATGTGGTTGTTCTCTCCCTCCCTCCCTCTCTCTCTCTCTTTTGCATATTTAAGGTAACAACACAAGTGATTAAGATTAGATTTATTTTAAAAGAACACAATATGCAATAAAGCAATTTAAACCCTTTGCAATTAATTTATATAATTGTTCGGGGGACATTGCCTTTCATAGATGCATGTTTTCTTCTTCATATTTATACTTTTTGATACAATTGAATAATAATCAGAAAAAATATTTGGTAAGTTTATTAAAAGCTTAAGAAGGTTTTATTTGACTTCAGGGTCAAATAAAATCTCAGTTCAAAATATTTTTTTTAAAGTATCAGACTTCATTAAAAGCAAGTGACATATTCAAAATTTTATTTGCTAAGACATTCTGAAGAATGTAATATCTTATAATTGAAATTAGTATAAAAGTAATTCTGGTAACTACGCTTATATTATCCTGAATGCTATTATGCCTGCAAGTAACTTTTTTAAACCCAAATTGTAAAGGCTAATATTAAATTTATATAAAAGAAATTGAATTCAGATGTTCCAACTACTTTATCAGTTCCTAAAAATGCGAGCTTTTCAAATATAAAAAACTTATAGCAATAAAATTAAATGTTTTCCTGAAATTCTATCTTTTTTATTTCTAGGTTTCTAGAAAACAAGTTGTTAATATGTATAATCTCCTTAATTGACACTCTCTGGAAAACTAATTTAGGAAATAAGCAAACTTCACTCAGTTCATCCAGCCAACTGGAATTAAAAGAGAACCAGAAATTCCTTCCCATCCAGCTTATCAATGAATTTCTCCATGTTCTGCTCACACTTCTTAGCCACATCCGGTAATTATTATCTATTTTTAAGGTATTGTATTGTTGCACTGCTTTGGAATATACTTTTCCTTTACAAAAAGAATTACTTTTTCATTGTAAATAAGAATATTTGTCATCATCGTAATCAGGGGTGGGATTCAATTTTTTTTACTACCAGTTTTGTGGGCATGGCTTGGTGGGTGTGGCTTCGTAGGCGTGCCCGAGGAAGGATACTGTAAAATCCCCATTCCCTCACCATCCCACTAACTTGCTTTTCAGGTCCGTTCTCCTGTGCAGGGCAACAAAAGAAGACCCAACCGATCAGCTGGGACTCAGGAGGCAGAGAATAGATGGGGGCGGGGCCAGTCAGAGGTGGTATTTGCTGGTTCTCTGAACTACTCAAAATTTCCACTACCAGTTCTCCAGAACAAGTCAGAACCTGTTGAATACCACCTCTGATTGTAATCTAGCCCAGTCTAGGCAGCCGTTAATATTTTCTGCTGAAGTCAGGCCTATCTTCCATAATTCCTACTTTATATTATTTGGAATTTCTGCCACTTTGCTACTAATTTAGGAGGCTTTTCTTAAGGTTGTTTCACACTAGTTTGGATCCTGTTAGCAGAACTGAATATGTAGGAATCGACTACAGCTGTTCTTTTGAGCCTTTATTTTAGATAGGCTTTTGACCTATCTTTACCCCCTACAGATATTCTTCTCTAAGGGAGATGTTAAATCTAATTTTACTTCTTAATAAACAATAAAATAAATATATCTTTTATGGTCCTGCCCCCCCATGTCTACACATTACTAGGAAAAAATTTGGAAGTTAAAATTATCAGCTTTGCAGTAGCTGAGCCACAAGGCGCCTAGGACATGACTCACTGAAGGGCTTCCTGATCCACGAAAGGCTGCAATTCGTGCACCAGTTGCACAAATGCCTTTATGACCCCATTGCTTACAGAGCAGGAGCCCCACATTGCATTGGTTAAAGATTGAATATTCCCAGATCCAGTGGGCCTTAATAACCCATGGTTTGGTCTTGGTAGGATTGAGTCAAAGTTGGTTGCTCCCCATCCAGGGAGCAACAGATTCAGAAGCCATAAAATTTTATAAGTCATTAGCTCCAAGTTACATATTAATACTAACCTTCTATAAGATGAATATATAAGTACAATGTTTATGTCATATTAGTAATGTTTTCTAATAACGTATAAATTATCCATCAGTTTCTTGTTTTGCTTCATTCAGGAATAAGATTAACCACTCGGTGCCTATCAAAATCAACAGTGAGCTTAGTCATTATTGTGCATAATGTGAGAAAATATAAATATTTTGTCCCAATTTTATCCCCTGTCTTCTGCTAAATAGAACCAACTTGGATCCTGTTGAGTTTATTCGGTTTTTCAGTGTATTAAGCTCTGTATTGGAATACCGCACTCTGGTTATTGAAGCCTTCAGAGAAATGGGCAGATTTATTGTAAACGAACATATTATTTCAAACAATGATGTATTGATACTTTTGTACAAGTGGAGTATAATTAGCAAAGATATGGAGCTTCAGGATCACCTGCATGTTGTTGCACAACAATACCAAATCAAAGAATTGCTTAGTAAGTATTCTCAAAGTACTTTAGAGAGTTACCATATTATATCAGTGTTTAGATTCAGCAAATGCTGTAAAAACAGCCTCTTATTCTGAGGGCAAAATAGTTTCCTGCATTTGTAATAACTCTCACAAATCAATATGTTGTTTTCCAGATGAGTTACTCTAGAATATTGAATTCAGCAGGCATATGTCTGAAAATTTCTCCTTGATTCATGATGGCAAATTGATTTGAATTGCTTCATGTTCAGCCTCACCGAAACTCAGTGTCAAAAGCTTTTTATATACCACAAAGGCATTGGCAATAGAGACATCATCAGTGTTTTTTGTTTGTCAAAGATTAATTCAGGAAATGCAATCCCTATGTAATCACATTCCCCAATGAGAGAGGAATGATTGAGGAAGAACTATAAGGGAGTTAAAATTACTTTGAAAACATGTAGGGATACAGTGTATATAAACAACTTTACGTTGTGTAATATTGAACACTTATCTGATTCTGTTTAACTAAATTGCTACTATTGATGTTAATTTTAAAGACAAGAGTATAAACCTTTGATGCATTTGATACAAATATTTTTGCTGGACAAAATAGGTGCTATTCCAAAGATCTTGTTAGATAGTAATTAACATTTGTTTTTTTTTTTAATATTTGAGGTGCAATAGTTAACTTGCTAGTATTGATTTAATATTAAATCTGCTATTTTTTGAGGTAATTAGCATACTCACTAGGAAGTTAATCTGCATGACAACATATGTCAATTCATCTCAGCCTTAGTACTGTTTATTTATGCATTGATTGCCCTTGTTTCATTGTTTATAAAAGAGTATTTTGCTTTTATCTCCTGCAGAAAATACAGACAGGAACAAGCCATGGTTACATTCGCAAACATCAATCCGACTAGCTCAGAAAAAGAGTAAAATTGAAATAGAGACAGCTACAATCTCTGTATGGAAAGAAGTTTATTTAAATGAATGCAGAACTCTTCTAAGATCTATTTTTATCCTCTGGGAACCTGTTTTACTGGAAATATCAGCAAAATCTCCAACAGAACAGAAAGGATATAGTAATCCAGATCTTACCTGTAAGATTACTTATTTAGTTTTTAGATGGCTCATTACATCCTTCCTGGATGACAGCTTGAACATTCAGAATGCACTCCCGACTTTCTGGTGGTTTAAAAAATATGGTTTTGGAAACAACATTATACTGGATTATATTCTTAAAGATGGAATTCTGAAAAGGACTATATTTAAGCTTTATAGTAGCATCTGTAATGCCTCTGAAATTGTGAAATTGAGTGATCTCTCTGCGCTTAATGGAATCATGCTCCATCTACTAGAATCTCAGAGCCTGACAGAAAATAAATTTCATGTGGCTGTGAAAAAATTCTGCCTCACTGAAGTTACAGATGTGAACAAAGGTAACTTCTTTGTTTTTGTTTTTACAAAAAAATACTCTGTCCTTTCCCTACATGTTGCCTTTGACATATGCTAAACTTCATGTCTATTAACATATAGGTACAATTAAAAGTCGTTAAATTGAAAAAGGCTGTTTTGCTTCATGAAACCTTGGAATTTACTATATATCATAATACAGATTAACATTTCCACAAAATGGGTTACGGTCAAGGGCAAATAATTATTCAGAACATTGGGGTTTAGTATGTAATTATCTGTAATATCCCAAAGGTGCTTTTTTCAAAAGGTAATTGGATTTTCTTTGGGTTTTTTCGCTTCTCATACAAGAATTTCAGAACTAAAGAAACTTCTTGAATGAGAAGCAAAACGTCTTCAAGGAAAACCAAAGAAAGTCCATTGTCTTTTGAAAAAGTAACTTTGGGACAACCATGACCTGGATGACTAAGAATGTCCATAGATATCTTTAATATCCTTAAAACTACAAGGTACAGTAATGTTTAACAGTTTGAGTCTTCAAATATTATTTTCTGCTATTTTTAAGTCAAGGCAGTACAATATTTTTAGTAGCTATTCAAATATTAATTTTGGGGGGCCAAGATTATAACTGGTGGGTTCTAGTGGAAAATGAAATGTTCATTGGCAGATCTTTTGCAGACTAAATTAAATCTATAAATCAAGATACTCAAATACTAATAACTAGGATTATCTAAATTAGGCATGTCCAACCTGCCAGATGCAGACTGCATGTAGCCCTGGACAACTAGTAATGCACCCCAAGACCAGAAACCTTTAGTAGTATTATGTGATTTATACACATTAACCATATTATACATTTTATGTGTGGCCCAAGAAAATTCCTCTTCACTCAGTGCAGCCCAGGCAAACCGAAAGGTTTGATATCCAGGATCTAAACCATTCTCAATGCAAGTCATTCTCGGTAAAAAACAAAAAAGTGTCTGTCAGTCAGGGCAGAAGTGTGCTGGGACAAGCACATGAAAAGCCAAGACATCACTAAGTGGAGGGAGGGAAGATGACGGGGACAATTCTTGGATGGGATGGTGGCACATGTCATATTGGGACATCAACAGAAGCCAAGAAGGGAAGGCACAGAAAATTGAGGGGCAGACCAGAGAGATATGCTATGTTGGGATTTGCTAAGAGGTGACGGGACAGAGGACAGCATATATAACTCGCTCATCTAAATTTTGCTTTGTATGAAACCAAAGTGTTGTGGGTTTTGGCCTACCATACCATGACAGAATCTCAACTATAGGATAGGTTCTTTCAAGTTTGAAACAAAGTTGTTTTCCCATGTTATGCATACTCCTTTTGTAACTATCATTTTCTTTTTCGTAGCTGCAAGAATTTTCCTTACTTCAATTTATATTGGAGACATTTGGCTAGGAGCAAGGCAACCAGACATGTTTATGATGCACATTAAACTAATATGTGGAGCAACCGATACTGAACGAAATGACAAAAAAAGGTTGGAATTTGAAGATTCAATGGTTTCTCTCTGCAAAGACATATACTCATTTTTAAGTCTTCAACCTCACTTTCAGTCTTAAACTCAAACATTTGTCAACTTTCCTATCTTGAAATTAAAGAAATAAATAAAAGGAGCCATTGTGTACAATTCTACAGGAATTGTTTCAAAAACAATGTCTATTAACAGCAGTACAACTGTGTGTTATAATAGGCATGATTTCAAATAAACTTATATTTTTTCAGAATTTGGCAAAGCTGGTTTAGATGCTATTTTTGTATATTGTATTTTTAAATGTTGGAAAAATAATAAACAAAACATTGAACATTGATTTGAAGTAGTAAAAATAATAAGTGTTTTGTTATAAGCAGGGGTAGAGAAACAGTCCCATTTTAAAGCAACTGCATTTCTTTGCAGGCTTGTTTTAATAAATCACATTAAAAGGTGAAGTTACTTTAATGGAGTAATCTTTTCAAAAACAGTATTTTTCTATCAAGTTCATCACATAGAAGCCTGAGAAAAAATATGATAAAGAATATTTTTCTGAATTGTTTTTGAAGCATGCATACCCCTAGTATTATATATCCACACTCCAAAGGAGTTTTTCCTTGTCTGAAGTTTCTGAAATGTTCATAAGAACGGTAACTATAAGAAGCCATTCCTTTAATTCAAAGATACATAATGCACAGTCTTCATACAATCCCATATCTGGATCCAGAAACTGGCTAAAAGAGAACAAGACCACAGTAGTGTCAGGGTTATACTTTGTTTTGTTTCTTTTGTCATGTTTACCAGGCTAATGTGTCATATTCATTTACAAGAAATTGCCTGCCACATTATTTTGCAAAAATGTCTAGCTATTTTCTGTAAGGGTGTAATGAAATTTGACTTCATTATTTGTTATGAATTAATGTTACATTTATTATATTTATTGACATATAATATTAATATTTTTGAGAAAAAACAAATAGAAGAAAAAAGGGGAGCAAAAAACATACACATGAAGTGAATCAAATTGGCTATAATGAAATTTATTAAGATAAACATTTTCAACATTAGATTTGTATAATTAAGTATCCTACATGGTTTGAAAAATTGTAAGTTATATTTAAAATCCAAGTAATATGTGAACAATAGTAAAATCAGTACATTATAAATCATAAAGTAATATAAAAAATTATAATAGTTTCTGTCCAAACAAATAACTGATCATTAGAATATTGTCATTTTATGCTGAAAAAAATGAAATTTTAGATGTGGTGCAAACTCATATATGATACTATAATCATTAAATGGTTCCCAAGTTGAATTACATTCTGCGTCAGATTTACTTTTGAAATATAAAAGTTATTTTGGACATAGATGTATACTCCTACGGGTTAATTAGCTATTCTTCTGAGAAAGAATTCTGTGTACTTTCCTATCAGAAGCGTAGAGTCCTTGCAGCAATTAACATGTACAAAGCTGCTTCAGTGTACTTTGTGGGAAAATAAGCTTTGATAATATTTAATTGGTTGGAAAGGAAACTAAGCTTTTATAAATTGTTTCAATCCATTAGAAATCAGTTTCAACATTGTTGAGCTATGTAACATTGCTACCAAATATGGAAAAATGATCCAACCTGATTACATTTCCAGTAATTCTTAGAAAATGAACTATATCTGTCATTGTAAAACTGCCCAACAGTATACAACATTATTGTATATTTTAATTACAGAAAAAAAATAGTTTGATTTTTTATAATGCTGCTTCTAATACATGATATACTATATGCAGATAAAAGGATGTGCAACTTTAATGTTGCATGTGGTACATACATACACAGAAATGTTTGTATTTTGTAAAGTGAATAATTTATAATATAGTCACTGTATTTTGTTCCACTTTTTTAATTAGCCTTAAGTAATGTTAAATCACAACTTATTTGCAATTAGGACAAAAGCCAATCTGCAGATTAAGCCAGGTTTTTTTTTATAACAATCATTGTGTATTGTGAAAAATACAAGTAATGTAATATTTCTAGTACTAATTCAGTAGAGATCTGATTCTGGTTTTGTTCAATTTCTTGAATGATTTGAAGCATGACTTTTAGCTACTAATCTGTATATATAATGTTAAAATTTTGTCTCATCTATGTATAAAGTTATTTGATTTTTTTTAAAGTAAATTGTGGATTTCATATTTTCTGGTAAATTACCCTTTTATATTAGTTAGTACAATGATTATTATATAACAAAAAAGCCAAAGTATTTTTTTAAAAGGAATTACATGTTCTTTACATGGGTATTCCCCCTAGCACATTATATTATAATATGTAGTGGGCTTCATATTTCACTTATGAGAAGGTTTTACACTGAATTGTCTGTATGGTGACATGGTAACCTATTACTTGAACAGAGCCGTTCAATTTCTTCTCCTTGGTTATGTACAGATATTCGTACAGTGTCATTGTTAACAAGATTTTGATGAAGTGTTTCTGAATAATTCCATGGAAACTTCTTTGATCCTCTAGTCCTGGGGACAAAATTGCTAAATTAAGTTCTTTTATCTTTAAAATATGATCAGGTAATATGGGAGATTAGTAATAACTGATAACCAAACATTCATATAATGGCTCAAATCACACTGATTCTTATAACTCAGGTTTTCAATGTTAAATCAGTTTTTAATAACATTTTTCTCTATAATGTTTAGTCCCAGTAATGTTTATTTGGTCAATGCCCAGCAATGCAATATTTATTTGTATAGAACTTTTGCTTACTTTCTGAGAGGTTGTCAAGGTGAGATAGGTTATGAGATAGGCTGTATTCTGCAAATTGATAAAACACTATGTCTAAGATATATACATTCCAAGTATCTATGTAGACATTCTTCCCACAAAAATTGATGTAATCTTTAAAATAAAACAGCACTAAATTTGGCAGATTAGATCAAAATATATTTCAATTTACTTTAGTTAAAACTAATGTTTAATTGAAGTAAATTGGAATGAATAAATATGGATCTAACCTGCCAATTTTGTAGGAGGTAGGGGATGAGGAAGTTTATAGGAATCTGATATATTTGCGATATTCAGTAGATACCTTTCAATATCTTTTTTTGAGATTCAACAAATTTGGGTTATTGGCCACATTTCCATATATTAAATGCAACGTGATAAATATATAAATTGCTTGGATTTACTTATTTGTATTTTTAAATACACTAACCATCACAAGGACTTTACTATCTTTAAGGTGTTGAAAAAGTATGTTCAGAAAAACTGAACTGCAAATAATTAAGAACTACTATGTTTAGTTTATTGTTATGTACTTTAAATTCAGTAGCTTATTAAATCATATGTAAGAGTTAAAGTCACAGTCCTTTCTAGAGCTGTACAAACTTTAAAACTACAAAATCATTTGTGGAGTAAAAGATATTTCACTCACTTCATGGATGTTGTACCAGATCGAGACATGTAGAACAAAATAAAGAAGAGAAATGCCACAAAAGAAACAAGTCCAATCCAAAAACTTATGACAATTGAATCTGTTGAAAAATAAATTAGAATTCTTCAAATGAATATGAAAATCAGCATATTTAAATACAAGTAATTCATATGTTCTTTATTCTGTTTAATTATTCAAGAAGAGACTGTCTTTAGTGCAGTATTTAAAATGTATGCAACGTTTTCATTACAAATGGAAACTAGCGTCCTCAGTCTGGCTGTGACTTACTAAGATCAAGAAGTATATTAAGGTACAGTCGTAGTGAAAACTAAAATACTGAAATAACACTTTATAATGCCTTGGTAAGATGACACTTAGAATACTGCATCCAGTTTTGGTTGCCATGATGTAAAAAAGATGTTGAAACACTAGAAATTATGCAGAAAGATGATTAGGGTATTGAAGGCTAAAACATATAAAGAATTGGATATGTCTAGTTTAATAAAAAGAATAAAACATGCTTAGGGTCTATTTCCTTGTATTCTAGATATATCACTGGCCATCAAAAACCTGCCTCCATGAAGACAAGATTAAAGTTATCTCCACCCATAGAATTTAAAGTTTCTGTGGCTCTACCCTGTCTTAAGATATTTATATCTAACTTACCCTTTCAGTTAAGAGGGAATAAAACATTTATTTCTGCCTAGTGGAGAGAACAGCAGTACTTACATCTGTAGGCTGTCAGTTTACTTGCATCAACTGGAGGTAGATCAAAGTAATCCAGATAATATTCATAGCGCATAGTATAATTTGTTGAATTAGTCATTTCAGTAGTATAACCAAGGTAGCTTTGGACTCTAATAGATCCAGGACAAAACTACAATGTTTCCATAAAGCCGTGCTGTAATTGTGCAAATAAATTTTCATTTGACATCCTTATATAGCAGAACTACTCAGGCTGACCTTCATTTCTACTGTTACTGCTGCCAAATGTTAAAATGACACTGAATTGGTCTTTTGCTTGAAGTACTAGCTATGGCCCAGTGTGTTATTGTTTGTACTATAATGCCAATAGTAAACAAATGTTTTGCATCCACATTGTAAAACAACTGTTTAAATTCATTTTAGAATTTCAGATGCTGCTTGTCATGTGTACACACCTCCCTTGACAGAAATTGGACAAGGACAAAAGTTACATAATAGATTTATTGTTAAAAACTTCATTTTGGGGTAGGGTTTGGCTGATTTTGCTACCTGCATCCGAGAAGTATAAACGTTTGAGAGGGCAGCATTTGCTGGACCAGCAGGGTCCCCACGACTACCTGTAACACATGTTTAGGCTTTACCACAAGTTTCTTTTGCTTTTTATTCATTTACGCAGTTTTTTTAAAAAAGTGCAGGGCTGTATTAAAGAATAGTACAATCTAAATGCTAGTTCAAAAGTAAATGAAGCCGGCGTCGTCCACGTTTCTCGCTCTTCAGACGAAATACGCTTGCAGACTAGCAATATCAGCTTCGTTCGAAGAGCTTCCACGGCGAAACCATCAACTGAGGGAGAGCGTGAGCTAGTGCGCAAGCGTACAAATCCTCCCTCCTCCCCTTCCTTGCCCCGCTACTGCTTCGGCCTCCTCTCCTCGGGAAAGAAAACGAAAGAACCTTGTTGGTGGGCTAGAGATGGACCACCCGTTATTTCCGGTAGTGAGGCGAGGGAGGAGGCGGAGTTCGGCGCGGGTGGCTTGGAAAAAATGGCGGCATTCTCGTTTGAAGAAAGCTTTCTGTCGGCGGTAACATTCTCTGACAATCTAGAGCCCGGTAACGAGGAAGGGCCGAGTGCAGAGGACCTGCCTATGGTGTTCCTGTGCACCGGATGTAAACGGCCTGTAGGAGACACGCTCAGCTGGGAGACTAACGACGAGGAAACCAACTGCATCCTCCTCAAGAGTCAGTGTTGAGAAATTAAAAAAAAAAAAAAAACAGAACAAAACGCGCGCGGCTACCTAGCAACACCGCGCGTTCTTGCTCGGAATTCTTCTCTCGCGCGAGCGCCCCGTTCCATCCCTCGAAGGCACCGGCGAAAGAATTTCTGCCTTTCGCGTCTTGCCTTGCTCGTTTTTCGGGTTGCGGTTCTGTGTTAACAACTAATGTAATGTAACGTAGTGCAGATAGTCCTTGACTTAAAATTCTTTGAAGTGACCGTCCTGAAGAAAGTGACTTATGCCCATTTTGCACACTTGCAACGTTTGTAAGCCTCCCCGGGATCAAAATTCAGACGCTTGGCAACTGGTTCATACTTAACGACCGTTGCTGTTTCTCAAGGTCATGTGATCCCCTTTTGTAACCTGACAAGCAAAGTTGATTGGGAAGCCAGATTAAGTAACACCCGTGTTACTATACTGCAGACATTCACTTAACAATTAAGGCAAGAGAGGTCAAATGGGGCAAAGCTTGGCTTAACAAATGTCTCACTTAACCACAGAAATTTTGGGCTCACTTGTCATAAATGGAGGAGTACCTGATCATTGTCGGCAGAGAGATCTTTTCTTCTAGGCTAAATTCTTCTCCCTTTCTCAGATTTGACTGCAAGATTATTTAGGGTTAATTTTTTTTCTAAGAACCTGATAATGTTGGTCAAAATCCCAAAATAAGCTGTAGTTTGTCACTGCTGCTGTTGAATTTGTGATCTTCAACAAATTTCATGTTTAACAAAGCTGGTTTATCTGTTGCTTGAGTTGCATATGCTGTTGAACTGCATTGTATTGTGTTTTTTTACTCATCTGTAGTTTTCTATGTTACATATTCATTTGATACCTATAAAGGATAATATTTGTAGCTTAGGGTTGAAATAAAGGGTCCTTGATGCTCTCTCAGCTTGCTTGTTTTCTTGCAGACATTTCATTACACAAACTAAGTAACATCATCAGTTTGGGTAATGAAATGTCTTCATTTGGGTAATGAAATGTCTTGAATGGTGGTTTTTATGCTCCCTGCTCTGAATGGAGTATAAGTGTTTTAATTATTAAAGGGAAAGCTTTGTTAACCTTTCCTGGTCCGAAAACTACCAAAACAATCTTGACATGGCTTTCTGTGTTCTTTGGTTTATTAAAGTGGCCTGCCTTTTTATGAGAACATTTTGTTTCTGCTTGCTTTGATGTGTATCTTTCACATTTCAGGTGTTACACTCAATGTCTCAATAGACAAAGAGCAAAAACTCTCAAAACGGGCAGATGAAACTGGCTGGTAAGTTAGAAGAACTTCAGAATGGAAGTTATAATTGATCTAGCAGAACTTCATGTTGCTATAGCTGAATTACTTTTTTGTTTGTTTGAAATGACCATGTAGTTTAATAGTAACCATATTTAGATGCTCTACTCTTTAATTTATCTCAACCCAGCAAACTAATATTATTGCAGTTATTTGTGTTAGACTATTCAATATCACAACATAGTATGTTTTTCATTTTTGAACATTTTATCAGACTAAGTATAAACTCAAAAAGCAAGAGGAAGGAAAATGGATGAAGAAACCCTGAATGTGAAGATAAAATCTGTAGAGATTATACCTGTTTCTTTAGGAATTTTCAGTATTATTTGCTTCATTTGCAGGAAATTCTGAATTAGAGCATGTAATTAAAAATAAGTCTGATGTTTTGCTTTACAGCATTCTTGAAACCTTGTTTTGCTCTGGCTGCAGCATGAAACTTGGAAACATTTATAGGTGTACCCCAAAACATCTTGACTATAAACGAGATTTATTTTGCTTAAACATAGACTCCCTAGAAAGGTAAGCAAACCAACAATGGAGCTTGCTAATCACAGTCTTTTTATAATCTCTTAAGTAGAATTGGTTACTTTGGAGATTTAACTTCTTCAATTACAGTTTTTTTTTCAAAAGGCAAATGGAATGTTGCAAGTCTAATGGAATATTATTACCAGTACTTGTTGCTTTAAATTTATGAAGGATCATTCTTTATGCTACTGCTTTGTGGAAGAAGAAAACTACATCAGAAATGACCTTCATTTTTTTTATTTCAAGTGTTGAGTTAGTATTTATTTCTCCTTCCCCCCTCAAACATTATATCCACCTCTTTATGAAAAAAGTCTATGAAATAGCATGTTCCAGACATAAGAGTTATAATCACATATTTATATTAGTACTTCAAAACTGTTGACTGTGTATATTGTTTACCTAGAATTCTGGTGTTTGCATAATTCTAATCAATGGTTTTTCCTTTTTAAAGTTTTTGGTTCTAAACTTCATTGTGGGAATAAAATAGTCGTCTGCAAATGAAAAACAATGTTTATTAGCACCTTTTCCAACTAACTTTATTATTATTATTAGTTATCATTAAAACACAGATCACAGAATCTTATGCCATTTAGTAAAATTGTAAAAATTTCAATAAAAATTTGTTAATTGGAAAGATGCCATTACATTCTTTCTGATTTTTTGCTACTATAGATTAACACTCCTGCAAATTTCAATACTTGGGTGGGAATCAGTCCTCTGTATTTTCAGAAACACTTGGTGAACAAAAATCAAATATTCTTGGTGAACTTCAGGAAAACACAATGTTACAAGGGTTGGTCTTCCAGACATTCTTTTAAAAATGGCATTGAAATGGTTGATCATTTACTTATTATATTTTGAATTCATAAATAGATTCATTAGTATTATTAGTATTAATTATTACTACTACAGAAAAATGAGAATTGTTCTCTTTCACTTTTCCATTGACTAGTAAGTACTACAATCATGACTACTCCCTTAAATGATTGTTTTGTTACTTATAACTGTATAAATGTCTTAAGTTATACCCTAGGGTCATCAGAACAAAAAGCTAACATTGATGAGGAACCTCTCACACTTGAAAGTCGAGCTAATTTAGAAGAATCATTAGGAAAGGTAAGATAATTCTATATATTTTGCCTTCTATACTTATTTACTTAAATGTATTATGATGAACTCTTCAAATCTTTTATTTATACACAGGTAAAATTCTGTCAATAGCAGCTAAAGGAAAATTTGGGTAGAAAAAGTACATTTTTTTATTCTTTGCTGTATGCTTCTGTATGAAAACATTAGTTTTTTCTGATTAAACATATTAGCACTACTATTACCTGTTCATGCAACTGCTGTTTGCATAATGTTGGTTTGAGACCAATGTATCATGCAGTTCCAAATCCTTATTTACCTCAGTTATAAGATATGAAAGTTAGTATCCACTATGAGTTCTCTGATTGTACTCATGAAGTAGGAGAAAAGTGGTATATTAAATTGATTTTTTCAAACTTTATTTAACAGGCAAAAACAGTACTGAAAGCATTAGAACAACGATTATCTGCAATGGAATCAAGTTTTGCAACTCTTCACAATATTGGCTGAAAAATATTTCTGACATTAATATTTATAATATTAATAAAACCTTTGTATTTACTGTTGCAAAATTGTTGGATTACTGCAAGAGCCTAGTTGCAAATTATAAAAGTCTACTCAGTCTTTGGATTAAGATACAGACACTTTAGAAACAAAAACAAAATCTCCTGGAGCTGAATAAATTTCTAGGAAATCTTCTAAATACACCCACATGGGTCCTTTTACAATATTTTTGACCTAAACATTCTAAATAATTGAAATTCCAATAAACTTGTCAGTATATTTGTCCTCTGTTTTGTGTACTACATACACTTTCTTACTTTGATTGGCAGCTTAGATTGGAATATAGTTAATCCACTTTTTGTGGAAAAGATTATTGCTTTGGATTTCTAATGGTTTTCAGGATATTACAGTTGAATCTTTTATTTATTGTAGCAGCCATTTAATTGTCTGGTGGTTTAAGATATTGATACAGTATGTGTAATATACTGGCAGGGGCTATATACATATATATTTCTTAATTTGTGTTGTTCTGGTGATTTTTTCTACTGTACTTTAAAATATTCAAGAATAAATAACTGTTCTAGAAAATTCAAACTAATATGGCAAAAATAACCAAAAATAAAACATAGAAATAAATTGACTACTAGTTATTTTACAAAACAAAGTAGTAAAAGTTATATAATGTAATGTCACTGTATTTTAGAAGAATTGTTTTCTAATATCAGGAATGCAGTTTAAAAATCAAAATACTTGAATACAGTGATATAAATGTTTCAGTACAAATAAAAATTTATAGAACTGCAACTTAAAATTCAGTTTTCTTGTAAGTCTTTGTGCTTATTTATTACTTCATTCTGTAATGGATAGAATAGAAGCTACATGTAGTTTGCCACACTGAAATGTCTTTTATGTTTCAAATCTAGGTGGGATTAGTCATCACAGATTTCTCTTTATGTTGTAGCACATTTTGTTCATCTAAATAGAACACATGCTGGTTTGTCCTTATTTTTTTTCTTTTTTAAAAATGGAAAAAGAGCTACTATTCATCAAGCTATAATTTGGTACGTAAAGTATGTATGTGTATTTGTATATTGTGTATAGACATTCAAATATCGGTTCTTATTTCTGTTTGTTTAAATAGAATGGGGTATGATGAATAAAACAGAAAATCTATGTTGACATAAAGTTTTACACTGTTTTGCTGCTTCAGTGCAATGACTTAAGTGGCTAACCATTGCCAATTAGGTTTAAAACCTTAGAATATTATACAGTAATAACAAACTACTTAAAACTTCCAGAACAGATAAATTTACATAAATTATATCTCCAAAAACTATAGAAAAGCTAAGATTTAACTGCTCTTCAAAATATTGGCAGAGAGGAAACACTTCTTCACACAAGCATTTTCTTCCAGACCTGAATCAGTAACAAAAATGCTGGTGTCTTCATTTAAAAACTTGAAATTCTAAATGGGCTAACATCCCTGATATTATTTGTTATTAGAGGTGGTCTTAACAATGACTTTGGGAACAATACAAAGGGATATCTTATAAAGTTAATTACATTTTTAAAGGCAGTAAAAGCTTGGTACCTTATAAGCCTATTACTAGCGGGTTTGGAATTTTCAGCATGCTTCCCATTGTTACTGTTCTATTTGTTAAATTAGAAGTGCAGTCTTACTGCTCCATTGGAATGAGCCTGATTGCACTGAGTAAATTGTAATAATTAGCATGCATTGAATCATTTTATAAATCTAATGATTGGAATATATCAGTTCAATTTAAAAATAGATCTAGAAAGAGACACAAATGCATTTTAAATATGTTAATATAAATTCCAAGATGTGTGGGCAGAAATTGTCAAGGGTAACCATGCATGAATTTTAATTGTTTTCATGGATTAATAGCATAGACTTTTAAAGAATGGCTGGTTTTAATTTCTTTTTTTCCCCTTGCAGCCCAAAGATTAACTGTAAATCTGTGCTAAGAGTTAGGATGCACTTTACTTGTACTGACTTCTGAAGGCTTTTTAAAATTTACACAGAAGTGATAATATCCCATGGGGAGAATATTTTTGTTTTTTATCCCTAATATATGATAATAACATCCATGTTAGTTTTGAAAGGTTATAAAAGAATTACTACTTAAACAGGAATCGTAAAAGGTTTCTTAAGAAGACATTGGGGTGCATTCAGATGTCCTGTACAGGTAAGTAGATGACAAAGAATTGCATCAGCTTTTCTGATAGAATTGGATTGACATTTCATCAGGAAGTCATTTTGGTGTTCTTAATATCCAAGCAGGATAGCATGTGCAGGCTTTGGCTTCTTTAAAGGAATGTTGTTAATTAACAAATTTAAGTTTACTAGTTTTTGTATAAAATTACAATAAATTTACACATGGCAAGTGGTGGTTAACAGCTCCTCAGCTATCCTGAGTTTTTTTTTTTTTTAAGCTATTCAAGTTCCCTAGTACCACTCTTGCAGTCTCAAAATGAATTATAAACACTGCTTTGTTTATATATGGATTCTCCTTTCTGACTTTGGATACCCAGGATATCCCCTTTATGCATGGGTTTTAAAATTTTGATTTAAGAAGAGGGGAACCATTGCTTGTCTAGTCATTGTCTGGCTGAAAAATACTCTATTAAGCTCCCCTTGCAACTTTTGTTGACCAAGTCTTGGACTTAATTCTAAGGCAAATACTGGGACAGATTAAGACAATCAGTCCTTGACAAAAGTTTGTTCTTAATAAATACCTATACAATCTCTCTACCACTTAACTGAGAATTAGATCTTTCGTCAAGGTCATCTCTCTGAAGCGGTTTCAACTGAAAGAGGGGTAAGGCAAGGCTATACGCTAGCCCCCTTATTTTTCAATTTCTACATTAATCTGCTAGTAAAAATACAGCTGCTCATGGTCCCTGGTCATTATCTTCCTGTTCTAGAAGAACCAGTGATTTTGACACTTTTATATGCAAATTATATGGATCTCATATCGGTTTCTCAGATAGGAATGAGAAGGGCACTGCTTTTTTCTGCCTAGAAGATTAATAATTAATAGAAAACAAGTGTTCTCTATACAAATGTCCAGGTGTCTGCAAGGAGTATAAATCCTTCCATTCCCCATCATCCAGTCAGAACATGTTTTTAGTTGTGTTTATGTTTCCCCTTATTTTGTATGCTGCCCAGTGTCCACTAGAGTTGGATGACCAATATAAGGTATTTGTGGCCAAGGCTATCTTTCAACTTCTGTACTATACTTAAGCTTTAAAAATACCAGATCCAGTCTCAAGCCATGGATCTGGGGTACAGATCTTCAATTTAAACTAACCCAATTGCCTACTCCTATAATTTGCGAAAATTCTTCCAAGTTTTTTTGTATTAACTGCCTATTTACCATCTATTATAATACTGAAATTTCATAGGACTTTTATCTTAGCCAGGCTATACAAATATTCCAGCGCCCTGGTGCTTATGCCCATGTGGAGATCGGTCAGTAGTGTGCCTGAGTCATGCTTCTCTGTGGTCCCCTTTACAGGGACTCTAGGATGACCCTCGTCCAACCTGATCACTTTCAATCTGGCAAAATAGCTGATTTTCAGTTATCCACTTCTTTCATTCCTTCCCCTCCAGATTAAGAGTGGAAATGGTAACAGGAGGTCTCCAGCAGCAAACCACATCTATTCTCTTTCTTAAAATACCCTCAAACACATGTTACTTGAAAGCAAAAGGTGTAAAAAATACCCATAACTTTAGGCTGTTTCATTAAATGTTGGACAGGGCCATTGATAGGATCAAAATGATATACCTTCCAAACAATTTTTGTTTCCATTCTCATTTATATACTGTTGCCAAAATTACAATAAGTCCAGACATATTTGGTAAAATATAGCAAAATTGACAGTTGGGACCTTACTAAATCCCACTAACAATACTTCTAAATACATGCTAATTAGAAACAAACTAATTTAAAAAAAATGCTCAAAGAATGAGATGAAAACTGTTGTAAGAGAACGGTTCCTAAAACTACTAATATTTGGCTTTTCACAAAATATCATACAAAAATCAAGGAGATATATACTAATGAAGTAATGATGTCCAGATTACTTGATTCAAAGGTATAGCTAATGTGAATTTGCAGGAGGAAATGTTGGTTCAGAAGAATAATTTACGTTGAACCCTACAGGATGATTGGCCAGTAGCACGGCAGATCTAAGGAGAGAGGGGAACTGTAGTGGGTGTCATCCTGCTAGATGCTTTACTATCCAGTCTTGTGTTTGCTTTCTTCAAAGGAAGTCTGTACACTCAGGGTTTTATTCCCAAATATGGATACAGGGGTGGGATTCAAATTTTTTAACAACCAGTTCTGTGGGCGTGGCTTAGGTGATGGGCGTGGCTTGGTGGTCATGTGACTGGATGGACATGGCTTGGTGGTCATGTTATTGGCTGGGTGTGGCCAACTCCATATCACTCACATGGTGAGGCACGCATCTCCTTGCCTCATGACTGTGGGGATGTTGCAACAGTTGTCAGTGTGAAAAATGGTCATAAGTCACTTTTTTCAGTGCCATTGTAACTTTGAATGGTCACTCCACACAAGCAAAGTACCAGCAAAGGAGGGGGAAAAAACTCCAGAGACGATCCTGAGACAGGAAGTCTAGTCCTGTAATGAATCAGGAACAGACAAATGTAATGTCTGAAAGCAATATTGTTTCCCCAAATTTCGGTTCCCCTACATTAGGGGTGTCAAGCTCGTGTCATTATGGTGTCATCACATGACATATCGGGACTTTTCCCCCTTTGCTAAACCAGGCGTCGGTGTGGCCAGCACATGATGCATCTGGCCTGCAGCCTGTGAGTTTTGACAGCCCTGCCCTACGTGAATATTAGTATGAAATGAAGTTTACCACCTCGTATGGTAAGGAACACATTGGTTGTCAATTAATTAGCACCTATGTACCGTAGGTATTATTTTTTGGTCAGTACCCTCCATGTTCTTAAAATTTCAAATATTTTAAGTTTAGCAAACATTCTCAAGGTGAATGCTAATGGGATTGCAGCCTGAATATGGTAACATAATTAAACTCACTCTCTGCACAGCATGGATTTATGCAGACCATAACATATCCAAAGACATCCAGGGTGGAGAAGTCTGCTTCATGGCTGAGCTTCTGGAAACAAAAATGTGGAACAGGAAGGAAGATAATTATTTTAGTGTGACTGATTAGGAGTATATTAGACTTATCTTTATTGATATAGTCACTGACAGAGCAATTCTATATTTGTCTATTGTGTATTCTATTCTGCCACAAGGTGGCACGTTTGCCCTCTAGCTGTTCTTTTTGGCCTTTTAATTTTGTTATGGCTTCATTATTTCAGGTCTGATACATGGCCCATTGGTTCCTCAGATTTACAGCTAAATCGAAATAAATACATCTTTCTAACAACCTACTACTTAACTGGAAATGTTTTGTGAGACACTTCTGTTCAATTCAACTGTATTCATTTTTTAACTTAGTAAAGTTATTTTCTATATTCTCCATATTTAGATTTTAATGATATTATGGGGAAGAATGCCAATCAATATATTGCTGGTTACTAAAGACATTTAGTACAAATACTACTAACGCTAGGATT